TTTTCACTAGTGTACCCATTGAATTTATATTAAAAAGACAAGAGAGTTGTAAAATGTATTGTGTGAAAAATTAACTTTTGACTTAATATGGAACTTTATGCTATTTTTGTATGCCTAGCAAAACCGTTTATTTTATATAGATATAGCCTTCTAGTCTTCCCTTTTGATTCTACCCATTTTTTTTTGGTTATATTACAAAATAATTGCAATCTCCTTCATTCCCTTCACAAAATAACGACTTTTTAGTCAATAGCCAGAAATTTGGGCCTATTGGAAAATACCAGCTCACAAATGCTCTAGGAGTGGCCTAACATTGACATTAAATTACATTTTATTTTTAAAGAAATTCAGCTCTCCTGTTAGTAAATGGTGATGGTAACATAATCCCCATCATTCGACATGCTTAAGGTGGCTGAACACACTTCAACCTTCCTTTTTCACTGAAATTCAGGACAAGGTATGTATTGTTATTACCACACTACAAATCTGACTCATGTTTGCTTCATATCCCCAAGTCTGCATCAGAAGCATTTCTAGGGAGCTGGGAACCAATTTGCAGATGTTTTGCACCAGCAGGTCAGTTTAAAGTGACCACTTTAACCACTTTCTGTGCTTAAACTTGATAGTAGAGTTTTCCAACTGAAGTACTGAATCAGCTTCATCAAACTGGATGTGGGGAAGTTTACATGGAAATATCATCTGGAATTGATACTCCTGAAGCAAAAGATATGGAATGTGTTTTTACCCTGATGTGAATACTCTATGGAGTCTAAGCACAAAAAGCTTTGCTCCAGCTCCATCATATTTTAGAAAAAAATCTAGCTAAGTGGTGCAAAAAAGAAATCAAGTGGGTCTTCCAGCCTTTGCTTAATAGAAAGCACAAACCTGACATGATCTGTCACACTATATTTCAACTGGACAGAAAATAGGAGAGACAAACTTGTGGCAAAAGGTCATTGTGTCACTTATGCCATACAGGAGGAGATGAACATCCCAAGGAGGTGAGCACAGTGTGAGAAGTTGAAGATGACAGAATTTTGTTAGGCTCTTCTATCTAAAATCCATAGCTCAAACCCAATACTTTTTTGAGTAAGGTTCCATTAAAAAATACGTTAACTTTTTAGTTGAGAACATGGAAAGAAATCAGCAGTTCTGATGATCCTAGCACAGATGGGAAATAATGCTGGATAACTAAGCCTCTGTTTAAGGAGAAAAACATTGAAGTTTTACTGTATAGACAGACCATCATTCACATACTGAGAGGCTTGAACTCTCCCATCCAAATGCATGCAAAGTGGAACATCAGACTTCCTAATGCTCATGAAAAAGCCAGACCTTGGGAAGCCAAGCACTTCCAGGAACTTGGAGGGGGTTAAGTGAACTCTGAAAGCTTCTGAGGCTCTTCCTTTCCTTTTTAGGGAACTGAAAGTATAGGAAACAGAGAGAAAGCCTCAGGTTGAGTTCTTACATTATTCTCCCCAGCTCCCTGGAAGAGCTGCTGACAGCTCCTTGTCCACCAGGAAGTTTGCAGAGGAGGAAAAGGAGGAAGGTTCCAATACCTCCTTTCTTTCCCTTGCTTCTTCATGCACCTTTCAATTCATTAATGTCCTGTTCCTCACACCCAAAACATCAGAAGAAGACAGTTCTAAGAAGCATAAATCACAGTGAAAGAACATAGCTCCAGAAGGAAGGTTTTGACACCTCAGGTGTATTTTCAGTAACTTACAGAGGCATCCTAAGTAACAGAGGAGTAATTAGCAAAATTTCTGCTGCCTTCAGTGAGAGCAGAATTTTGTCTTCCACCTCTGAAACCCCAGAAATCCACTATCATATTTACTTCAGGGCCCTCAGGAAACCCTGTAATAGCAGTGTTAATCTTGAATTGCAGAGCTTCTCCACCTCAACCCTATTTCATGGAGGCTGATACCTCCTTCAACCTCCCCATTCTCAGAGGCTCTGAACAAGAAATGTTCCCCCAGATTTGGAACTTGATCTCGGCCTCTTACTTCATTGCATAATTTTAAAAAGTGCTTTTTTCCTTTTTTCCTAACCTAAGAAGGCACCAAAGTTAATTGTTAAAATCATGTGATATGCTGTGAATTGGGCTCGAATGGATTTGTCCTCTCTGACACAAGTTTCAGATGAGAACTGTTTAAAGATTAAGGCTTTTATTCTTCTACTGGGTGTAGCTGGGGATTGTTCAGGCTGAATTCAAAATGTGCCACAGACATTCTTTTGTCATCTGGATTGTTGTTGATCTGCACTTAACTTATATAAACGATGTGCAATTCACAGGAAAAGAAGAAACTGGACACTCCTTCTGACCCATTCTGTGTTCTGTAGCCATCTCACTCTGAAAATGCTTTTATTTCAAGTAGCTGGGAGAGAAAAACCTTCCTAACTTTGAAGTGGGTTTTACTGCATTGATAGGGGAGAGAGAGAGAGAGTGAGAATGAAATCCCATTTCATTTTTAAAGTTAACTGTAAAGTTTTAATTAGGTCCTCTGAACAAGGATTCTGTGATGCTTTATGTTTAAGAGTTAGCAATAGTACACGATCCACAGACTTCCATCTTAAAGTTCAGTTGACAAAGGCCAACACAACTCTTTACTTTGTAACTCTGTAACCATTTATGTTTGAGGTGAAGATGTTAATATGGAAATTTTGTGAGCTGGGAACGACTACGAACTCTATCATTGTAATTTATGACCTTTCATCTGAGGCCAAATGTAAAGGCAATTGCAATTGTTCTATATCTCAAGGCCAGCACATAGCAGATGTGTGAAATTTGGAGTGCTAGACATAAACTTTTATTACCAAATTATAAATAATTTCTATCACTTACAATGTTCACCTTTCAAGTTCATCTTGATTAAAACACAAGGGCAGCATCTCGCTGATTTCCCTGAGTTATACAGCTGAAAAAGCTCTACCATGGTACACTAGGAAAAGATAAAGCAATGCAGAATTTAAAACAATCTACTGAGAGCCAGCTAGGCAACATTTCAGATCAAAATACTTTTTCATCTAGAGGACAAACAAAAGATAATCATTAGCCAATGACATCTGAATTCTATTTTCACTCTTGGAGATTTTGAATCCTTAAGGAGTCAATTTAAGGCTGATTTACCTTTAGGAACAGCACAAGAGACTGCTTTGAGACCTCTGGCAAACCAAGGAAAATGAGCCAAGATTTGGGTTCATGACTTGATCTCAGAGTATGGAAGAAGGGAGCTAAGGATACAGAACTCGCCAATCTCAATGCCCACGGTTCAGCTCTGATGTGTTTGAGGTTCACAGGCTGTGAAGCAGGAAAGCACAAGGATTTTGTTGACTGACAGCAGACAATCAAAGTATCCACACACACAAAAACTGTAATTAAGTATAAGCCTCAGCTAGCTAGAAAGCAGCCTATTGAGCAGAAGGCAAAACAGCTCATCAGTTTCTGATGGCTCGGGGAAAAAAATACAAGCTCTGAAGGCAAGCTTGTAAGAAATAAAACAAAGAGGAATGCTCACAAAAAACAAAGTGTCCCTGGTTGGATTTGCAAAATTGCCATGCAAATTTACCAGCCCAGACATGAAAGTTTTATTTGCTCAATCTTTATACTGGAGATTGATAACAATGAAAACAGGAATATTCCCTTATCAAAGCATTATTCACTGAAGCCAGGAAGCCAAATAAAACTTTGCAAGTCTGCTCCCTGGAGTAACTATTTTATGTTCCTTTTCTGCTTCAAATACTAGATATAATCAAGCACAGTTGGATGCTCCTGATTAACATGATGGTTGCCTGGAAACACAGGCACAGTGTGGCCAAACTTCCCTGTCCCTGCCTGCGCTTGAACTCTGGGCCAGGCAGGTGAATAAGGTCAGGTTTGCAGCTCTTGCCTCTTAAAAGCCTTTTAGTCTAAGCATTGGAGAAAAAATTGTTACTGGACACGTGTTCAAAAAGAGAAGACAAACAACTGTAGAAAGAAGCGAGAATACAAATCTGTGTTCTGAAAAGCCACGGTACATTTTCTTTGTATCATGAGAATTGAGAGGTTTGACAAGATACTAAATCAATACCGGACAGATAAAAAACCCAACAAAACAAAACAGTCCAGAAGCTTTCACAGATGATTAACTCTTGTCACAGTACTAAATTCTAAAAAGAAAAAAAAAAAAAAAAGGAAAAAAGAAGTATTTTTCCAGACATGAGGGGATAGCTGGGGGGAAGGAGGAAAAACAAGTGAGATGATAAGGAGAAGAGCAGAAGGTGAGTTCAGTTTCTTCTTGTGCCAAATTACTTAAAAAAAAATCTCTTACGTTTCTATGTTCACTGATTGCTCTGTGAAATGACCTTCAGCACTTTCCTGTCTGGTCCTGGGCAGGACACCTGTGAGGTGCTCACCGTGTTTCCTATAGGGACAAGATCATTTGGGAATGAACAGGGTCCCATTGGAGCAGAATACAACAATGAGTACAGTATTGGACATCAGGAAGAATTCCTTCACAGAAAGGGTGATTGCAATGGGCTGCTCAGGAGGTGCCAGCATCCCTGGAGGTGTTTGAGGAGAGCCTGGATGGGGCCCTGGTGGATGGCCTGTCTGGCTGACAGGGTGCTGCTGCCTGATAGCTTGGACTCCATGTCTCCGATGGTTTCCCAGCTTAACTGATCCTGTGGCGTTTTTTCCCCACATTACATCCTGTAAGATTTTTCCCACAAGACATCCTGTAACATTTCTCTCCGATGGGGTGAGTGCGGGCCCGGCCCGGGCTGCCGGGGGGCCGCGCTCTCCCGCCGCCACCTCCCCCGGGGACCGGGGACCGGGGCCGGGCTGCAACGCGCGGGTTCCGCGCGGGAGGAGCGGCTCCAGACGGGGGTGTGGTGCGGGAAGGGGACGCAGCCGTGGGGCGGCGGCATGGCCGGTGGCGGTGGGTGTTGGTGGGGAAGCGGTGCGGATCCCTGGATTCACGGCCGGAGCTGCCCGCTCCCATTTGCCCCGGGAAGCAGCGCAACGGAGCGGGCAGCGTGCGGCGTTTCCTGCCTTGGGCTCCAGAACAAAGCGCTGTTAGCGCTCGCTCGGCTCCCGCTCCGAGAGGGGCTCGCACCAAACTGGGTGCGCCTGCCGCGGTTACACATCACAGCATCTTTGCTCTGGGATTTAATTACAAACCTTAACTGAGTCTGCTTTGTTATCTGAATTTAAATTTATGTTTTTCTTCTGTTTAAATTTATGCTTCTGTTTGTGAGCTGAGGTCACGCAGACTTCCGTGTATATAGCATGGCTGTGCTGCTCCCTCCTCCCCATAAGACATGAAACACCTATTTATGGCTTAGCCCTCTAAAAGCATTTTAGCAAAAGGTTTTAGGGATGGTGAGACCTTTGGCACTGTTGAAATTTAAAAGATGCAGGGTGTGGCAAACAAGGATTCTTAGTAATACTTTCAGAAGTAATAAAAATGCCAAAGGGAAAGTTGAATGCAAGTGGCTTTAGGAGCTCTGTCTCCCCACCTCAACCTCAAAAGTTTTGCTTTCATTTCCTTCAGTATTTTCTCCTACTGAAAGTATTACAAATCAGGGGTCTGCCTGTGTGTACAGAGTATTTAAAACAATGTGGAGGCACGTCTCTTATCCTAATGTTCTCTCTTCACTTCTCAGCTTACCAGAGGAGATCAAGATGAGTCTACGGAAGCAGACCCCCAGTGACTTCCTAAAACAGATCATTGGAAGGCCAGTTGTTGTGAAATTAAACTCTGGAGTTGATTATCGAGGTAAGTTCTCCATCTGTCTCTTACAGTAAAGTAGTTTGTTGAGGAGGCTGGAATAGATGCATTGATTTGGAAAAGAAAAACAGTGTGATCCAGAATCATGGAGTATGAGAATATAGATCTCAGAATGATGACAGTAAAAATAGAAAATCAGCTCTAGAGAAAGTGATAAAAAGCTGGGGGTAAAACAGTGGGTTTAGATATTAAAATTACTGATCTAAATCATTAATGTCCTTGGTCAGAGGTGATTAAATTGGATGATTCTGAGTTTCTAAACTGATACTTGAAAATACTGTCTGGAATTACAACTCCTGAAATGGCCAGAAACACCCCTTGTTGGAGCTAGACTTTCCTTCACCTTTTTGTTCTCTATTTAGGTGATACAGATCTTGATCCAGAAAAGCTTCAGAGTAAACTCTGCTGTCAGTCATAATAGAATTCTTACACAATGAAAAGCATTCTTGACATTCTTGGTTAAACAACTGCCTAGATCTGTGTTGGATCAAGGCTCACAGAGATACAAGAAAAAGTTTAGTGTAGCTTTTATCAAGTCTGTCAGTATACCTTAATGTATATAGGATTATAGATTTCTTTTTAACCAGTAAATTAAACTTCTCTGTGCAGTGAAATGTCCTGGTCCTGCTCCCATTAGGATAACAGTATCAACCTGACCAATTTTTTAGCAGTATCCAAACTCAGTCAAAACTAATAATGTATTTTCTGCTGTGCTCAATTAAGAAATTTTATTCTGTACTGACTTAAACATTATGGTTCTGCAACAGCCCCCTTCTTCAGAGAGATTTACTTCAAGTGGCTCTAGCTTGGCACTTGTGGGAGGAGACTTGTTTGTGCTGTGACAAGGAATCTTTGTGCTAGGACAGTTTTAAATTGTTGTTGTTCACTGACAGAGCAGGCAGTGGCTTCTTAAGTCTTCCTGTTTCTCTGCAGTGTCGCTCAGCTCACAAAATTTGCAGTCTCTCATTTCTTTGAGAGCCACATTGTTTGGGCACTTCAGGTGGGGTTGGGGGCTTAAGAAGTTTGTTGCCTCTCTGTACATTCTTCAGTGTAGGAGAATGTAGAGAGAGCTCATTAAAATCAAAGCAAGTCCTCATTTACCTGAGGGTACACACAAGGCAGGGCCAAACCAGATTTGGGTTTTGCTGCACTTCCTATTTTCATTGAGACCATTGCTGCCTCTCCCTTAATAAGATCCATTTGTAAATGCTGTAGGTGAACCACTCAACTTACCCCTCAGCAGAGCTGTTTTAACATGCCTGCAGTCTGACACCACATTAATTGAACAAGAGTTCCCTGAGCACCCTTATTTGTCACTGGATTTTCCCCCGCCTTCCCTTCCTTATTTCCCTGTACTCCTTTGATCTTGTGACAGAAAATCCGTGTAGTGTTTTTGTTTGAAAAATACACACTTAGTTTGTTTTCTGCAGAAATGTGACCAGCATTTGTAAAAGCCAGACATTTACAAAACTGAGTTGTATGTAGCTCAGGTAAATCCACATGGTCTGGTTTTAATTTTGTACAAACATATTTTTGTTTTCTGTTGCTATATGGATACCTCAGGATTACTAGAGTGGAAAAGAATCCTGACTTTGGTTTAGGTCTTTTTGGTGCATTTAGTGGCACTTTGTGAGCAGTTTTTCTTTGTGGAAACAGAGGAGAGAAAAACAGGAAAATAATAATCTTTAAGCCATGACAAATTAGCAGAAGAAGTTGAATTCCTGATTATTAACTAGAAGATCCTGCAGTAACACTTCTGAAAAATGAGAATGTGTCCTTAGTTTTCTCCATCTTCCTAAGAACAGCCAATTTACTATATTTCAAGTTTTACTGCTAGGTAAATAGCTAGGTGTTTTTCAAACAGAGGAAAAAGATATTTAAGTAGTATTGTCTGTGCAGGATAAAGTCAGGAAGACCCACATGCAAGAGGAAGATAAAACAACTTGTAAAAAGCTGTATTACCTCTGTGCTACTAAAATGTGTATATTCCTGTAAGATTTTTCCCACAAGACATCCTGTAACATTTCTCTCCGATGGGGCGTTATTTTGTGCGGAACCCCACGGAAGCCATAAACCCCGCTATCCCCGTGAAGGGGCCGGGCTCAGCCCCGCGGCTCGGGCGCGTCCCCTGAGGGCCGCGGGCCCGCCCCGCGTTCGGGCCCTGCGAAAAAAAAATCTAATATTGCAAATGACAGATTTTTTTTTCTTTAATTGCATTATCAAAACATTGTAATTTTATTTTTGTGGGAAGATTTCAGTGGCCTTTGCTGAAAAATGTGTAGAATTTTGTTGACATCAAAACAGAGGCTTGCAGACAGTGTTCTTCTAGCTCTGTAAGCATGAAGACAAATATGTGTATGCTGTCCTGTATTAAAAGGGTTGTTTTTCAGCTACATCCTTCACAAGTTTTGTGACAACTCAGTTTGCATAGCTTTGTCCTTAGGTTATTCAGTTACACTTAATGCCCCAGGTATTTTTTGGTGTGTGCTTAAAACAGAAGTGAGAAGGGTCAGCTTGAACTTTCAAAATGGAAATTGTCCATCTTTTGAATTAATGCCTTAATAACTTCTTTTTTTTACTCCCACAACTCTTACACCAACTGATAACATTGCTACCAGAGTGCCTGGGATTCCTTTCTCCAGCTGAATTCTTTGAAGACATCTGTCCATGCTTATGTTTTTAGTTTGTTATAAGGATACAGGGTGGGCTTTTTTCCTGTACTATTCAAACACAGTGCATTTTTGTTTATTTTAAAATAAGTTCAAGCTGATTCTCTTTTAAACTGCCACTGTTTTCAGGTGTCCTGGCTTGCCTGGATGGATATATGAACATAGCTCTGGAGCAGACTGAGGAGTATGTAAATGGACAGTTAAAGAACAAGTATGGAGATGCATTTATCCGAGGAAATAATGGTAATTCCTACTCCTTCTCTTACTGCACATTAGAAAATTGTGTTTTGATATTATGAATTTGAGGGGTGGCTGAGGTGCAAGTAAGCTGCCTCTAAGCCTAAAACTAATATTCTTTCTTTGAAGTCTTTACAATATTTGCTTTTTACAGTTTCACTTTCCAGGGTCCCTGCTTTTCTGCATTCCTGTGGTCCTTTTTTCCTCTGAACCTGAAGTTCATTTAGAGAAGCATGCTCTTTTCTAGCCTGATTGGAGCTTATTTTCTACTGTTTGACCGGCTTACTCTTTTGCACTTACTGCTTGCCAAGATGGCCTCTGCACCATAAGGGTTTGTGTTTTAGGCAAGCTACTGCATGAATTTATGCTACAGTGCAAATATTACAGTGACACTGCTTTCTGGTGAAGCAGTTTTCCAGGACTGAATGAATGCTTATCCTTACTCCTGGAGGCTATTTTCATCTTTTGAGTAAAGATTTTACCACCAGTCAAAAAAATCGCTCATGCTTTAATATCGAGCCTTTAAATATCCAAGTGCAGTAGGTGGATTTTAGTGCACTTCAAGGACAATCCCAGGCTCCTGAAATGACTCTCTGGTATCAGGCTGTAATAGCAGTACATGCCAGGGAGAAGAGTATCTAAAAATAGAAAAGGTTCACAAGTCGGAGGTGAAGAGACTTGTAGAGAAGGTAAATGTAGCAGAGTTTGACCAAGTTGCTTGTGAAGAAAATGGAGCTCAGCAAAGAGGGATGGAATAAAAAGACACAAGGACCAAACCCCATGTTAGAGAAAGAGTCGAGGAGAATGTGGCACCAGTGTAAAAGAGCATTTTGGGTGGAGAAATAATCGTTGAAATGAGGCCAACCCTTGCTTTTTGCAAGGCATTTGGACTGTTATGCTAAGGACTGGAGTGACATTTCAGCTGGAGAATCAATTAAGGAAATGATCTGTTATGAAAGTTAAAACAAGGGGATGAGAGGCAGAAGGCTCAAGAACAGGCTGAACAGAGAACTGAAGACGTGGCAGGTTTAGGAGCACAGTATCATTTTATGTTGTGACTGGATCTGTTCTGGGGATATCATCAGCCAAGCAGGAGGAAGATGTCTCTTCCTTCATAACTAATTATTAGCTTTGCCTTAAGTGCTTGGGATTTCCAGCTTTTATTGAAAGATCACAGCATTAGTGTCTGACACCTGTAATTCTGCTGCTGAGGAACTCTCTCATGCTCCCCTCAGTAATACTGCAAGCCTTTGTTCCTGCTATGTTCAGCCTACATCTGCTGGAGCATAGTTGGGCTATGAATAAAATAAATACTGAACCAAAGTAATACATAATGTTTAGAGCTAATGGCATTTTTTGAAACTTGGACTTAAAGGTTGCCTGGCTTTGTTCATGCTGAATGGGATCTCTTACAGTGTCAATTTATATGCCATGGAAATAAGATGTTTTAAATAAAAAGGCTTCTGCATGTTATTTACCAGGGCCCTCTTCTGTGTGCCTCTTTCTCTTTTCCACAGTGTTGTACATAAGCACCCAGAAGAGGAGGATGTGAAGATGCCAGAAGGAGGCTGTTTTTTTTGTACTTGTGAGCCTCTTTGAAGTGATGAGCCTTATTTGATTTGTAGTTCAAAATCCACAGGTGAAATACACAAGTGTTTAAGTATTTTTTTTAAATAAATGTAAATGTGAGTGTAAACTGCCTGAATGCTTTTGTTTCAAAGCATTGCTTTGTTCCATTGTACAAAAGAAAAATAAAAAGGAAGCTTGTAATAGTGCTGCAAGACTAATTTGAAGCAACAGCTCATTTAATTATGCTAACAGTTACAAAAAGTACTGATTGAAAGGTAAGCAGGCATGGAGTAATTGCAAATCAGAGCTCCGTATTGATGGCAGAACAATAGTTTAAGTGATGGTGGGAAGGGAAATGCTAATGGTTTGGTGACAATGACCTGTGCCTTTTGGAAAACACAGGGTCAGCTTTAAATGCCAGGCTAGTAAGAGTCATCGGCTAAAAAGTTCAGCTGTCCAAAAAATCTTGAATTGTGGATTGAATCAAGGGATGTAACAGTGACACTTCAACAGTTAGGGGTGGGGAAGGAATTGAATCAAACGGAAGAAAAGCCTTAAGGGTGAAAAGAAAGCTCTGTGCCAGCTGAGGAAGTCAGTCAGAGGTGAAGAGCTCTCAGTTGGTATGTCAGTACAGCCTAGTAGCTACTTCACCTCCTGCCTGTGTGCCCCCCACCCTTCCTCTGCTTGGGGTGACCTTTTTCTTGTGCTTCTCTACCAAACACAATGGACTTCTTCAGCAAAAAGCAATTTTAACTAATACCTAAATCTACTCCTGAAAATACACTAGGAACCCGAAAGCTTTTATAAACATGCCACATGTGTTCTCTCCAGCCAGTTCCTTCTTTGTCCCATCCATTCCCCCCACAACCTGGTACCATCTCTAGATTCCCTTTGTCCATCCAGAAATGAGAAGAAGTGCATTGGAGTATGGGGTATGCATCAGGGAGGGGGAACCTGTGAGCCCACAGCAGAGAGGAAACTTTTTGTTCCCAGAGGGAACTGTTTGTGTGTATTTTGCAACAATGCTCCCCAATAATCAAAGCACACTGAATAAAAGCAGCTCAATTTTACATGGATACTTATTCTAATTTATAAAGTGTATCTTCTTTTATATGCAGTCAGCCAAGAAGAAACCCAAACCAACTCTGAAAATTCAGATTCACTTCTTCACCTGAGTGTTCCTGCACTTAACATCACACACGCAGAATGTTTTCTTGTTCTTCATGATGAAGTTATAAGTTAGGGTAATGTACCTCATGGTGAGGCTATTGAGCCAATTTTTTACATGAGCTTTCTGAAGCCTGGCTTTATTCTTTGGACAGTTTATAATGCCTCCAGGAACAAACATGCTTCTAGTTCTGGATGGATTAACACAAGACAACTGTGTGAATATAGCATTGTCCCATTCTTCCCAAGTACCAGTAGCTCTGATGCAAGCAGGAAATAGTAACATTCCAGTTATCAAAGGGAGAGAATGTGAACTGCAAATTTTAATTTTACTGTTTTTTAAGATGAAGAAATAATTCTAAAATATTTTGCAGTCAGTAGTTGACCTTTCCACATTAAGCACTTCAGAAGCCATGATAGAACACAAAATAGAGTTGCTACTCTACAATATGCTTCAATAATTTATCATTTTTTGACAAGGGTTGAAAAAGGTTCAGGATATAAGACAAATCACCAACTTGCTCTCCTGTAAGTGACTTTTTTTAAAAAATGAAGATGTACCTCCAAGTGGGGCATGCAATTTTTCATTTGCCTTGTCATCTATATGTAGCTGGCAGGTAACTGCTTTCAGTCCTGGAGACTGTCTAGATTTTGTTGTTTGGGTTTTTGTTTTTATTTTCATATAGGACTAATTTTTTCCCCTCCCTACCTTCCCCCTCCACACACCTACCCATGTATAGCAACACATTCTGCAGACTTTGATTTAATGTCTAGAGTTTGCGTTGCTAACTTTTAAACTGTGTTTCAGTTTCTACAAATCTCGTAATGGAACATTTTTCTGTTGTAATCTGCTACTTCTGGTGGTCCAATCACATACTAAACTCTATATAAACATAAATACTATGTAGTTTACATGCCAAGGGGTTTTTTAATGTATTCTAGGTTATGAAGTCATTATTAGTATGTGAGGTAGACAGGTAGATTTGCATTGAAGGTCAGCTGTTGTAATTCATATTTAAATTTCAAAAGTAGCAAAAGAAATTAAGCATTTACTTCCTACAATCACTGACTTCCAGTTTATTTTACAAATTCTCCATGTGACAATATTTACCATATCCTGATGCTCTTGCCCCAATACCTGTGTATAAAACAGTTTCACTTGTGGATCAAGCTCATTGAGATCAGAACTGACCATGAAACATTAATACCTTGAATTACCTGCAAGCATTTGTCCATTACTTTACTTAGAAGAATGTACCCAAAATTAAGTAACCCAAAACGAACAAAAATTACTGAATTTCAAAGACTGAAGCTGCACTCATGTTGATAGTCAGTACTTTTATGCAATGAGATCACACTGTGAAACCTTGGCCATTCAACCACTACCCCCACTCTCAGTGACACATTCAGCTCACAGACACTCTGTGAAGAGCAGTAACTGTAAGTTTGCTATACACCCACATCCCCCACAGGTTTCTTGCACTGGGAAAGCCAAACTGAGCCACATCTCCTTAAACAAAAACCTGGCTGGGAGCAGCAACACAACATACCTCATGGAAACTGGAGAAAGCCTGGAGGAAGGAGGAGGAGTCTCCCCTAAAGCCTGCAGTGCCCTGGAGTTGCCCTATATAAAGGGAGCAGAGCATGCTAGGAAGGTTTGGTTTTAAAGATGTATACCCTGGTGACCACTCACTTTTACAATTTGTTTCCACCTGGTTCCTAGTTCAAAGGGAATCTAATGCAAACTATGCTCAACATCATTCGAGTTCTTTCTATCTTTTTTGTGATGTTACAATGACAAAACAGCTACTGAGAGCCCTTCTGGGTATGACTTGGCCATCAGTTCCTCAGGCTTTTTCACAGCTCTGAAAACCAGCTGTGCCCCACAGCTGTGTTTTTCCTGGGAGATAAGAAAGCATGAAAGTTTGCAAAGTGACAGCCTTGCAACGTGTGACTGAGGGTGCCACAGCAATGCCTGATCTTTCATATCCCAGCTCACAGCCATGGCCAGCTCCAGCCCTGGAGTGGTTTTGAAAACAAGCAAGCTTTGGAGTCAGCAGTTTCAAACTCTCAGATTCCTGTGCCAAACTGTTCTCCAAAGCCCGAAATCAGATGGGAGGGGGCATTTCCTGGGCTGCTGTATTGACCCTGAGCGAGGGACCCTCAGCCACAGAATCCCTCTGCCAGGTCACCCTAATGGAGCTCACAGGCAGCTCCCACTCAGAGCCACGATCACACCACCTGCCTGGCCCTGCCTTTGTCTAACAGAGGAGCAACAAGAGATCATCCTTTAAAATAAAAGTTGGTTTTGTGAATAGAAATTATAAAATTTCCAGCTCAAGTGGCGAAAAGGGAGAGCAGCTCTCCATGGATGGTTTGCATCTGCTCTGTTCAGTGCACTGGGAAAATCCATGTGGGCTCTGACTGATGCTGTGTGCATGTGAGAAGCCCAGCATCTGAGGGCATGTTCATTTTACCTGCTGTTTGTATTCCTCATCTTACTCAGTATTATTAAAACAATCATTAAGCTATTTGTTGCTAGGCCTTACCTCTCTTTCTCTCTCTTTCCTGCCCTCAACCCTTCCTCTAGAGCAGAACAGCTGCCCAGGTTGCAATAGTTACCAGATAAAATACAAGATTATTTTGGTTTGAATTTGTAAGGGAAAGAGACTCACAATGTATGTAGCATACATGTGTATATGCCAGTTTGTTCCCAGCAATGACATTTTAGTCACTGTCACACTTCAGTAAGGGACAAAAGAACAGCTGGATAAAAGGGGAATGACCAGCCAGTACTTTTGCCAACCCTAGTTTTTGCCTAACTAGTATCAGAAAAACCTTCTGGTCTCCCCAAACACAAAGGCACAGACGTGCATAGGTCAGCCCCTGAGATGCTAGTTTGGAGATAGTTCTCCATTCTCCCTATGGGACTACCATGGGTTTTTAACCACTCATCTCACAGCTGGACACTTCTCTTTGTTTTAAAGATGTCTTGAAATATTCTTAAATAAGGTCGTGCTGCCAGCTTTGCTGATTTGATGATCAGTTCCTTGTGATCTGAACTCAACTGTTGCCACCTTCAAGCTCTCTACTTGATCAACTCTTCCCACTCTTCCCTAAGCCCCCTCAAGCTGTGTTCACAGGACTCAGGTGGCTGCCAGCTGACCAGGAGGAACTTCTAACTCATTAAAACCCTTATTATCTTGCAGCAGCAAAGTATTTCCCAACCTGTCAATGAAGCGACCAGCTTGCTCTGGAGTGTCAGCTCTGAGTTTATGTCCACGCCCATATTGCACAATGATCTCCACTGCACCTGCTCCACATCTGCTGGCCCTGTTGTGCCCTGGTGATGTTGGAGATGTAGAAGAAGCCTGCAAGAAGGACAGAGTTTGTGCACCACAGAAACTGCAATGTTATGGGGTTTATAATCCTTCCCTGCACTTATCAGTAACATTTCAACTTAAATGGTTTATACTCTATCTTAATTATCAAGTCATTACAGAGCATGCACAGTTGTCCTAGTGTTATTTCGAATTCCCAGCTGTGGTCTGTGGGGTTTTTTTCTTCTAGAAATCCACTACACAAACACTGCTGGGAAAACAATAGGCAGGGTGGAAGTTGTCTTATGTCCCTTCTCCTGACAGCTTCCTGCTAACAAAGACGTTTCTGACAAGGAAAAGCAAACCTCCTCCAGTTCCAGCAGTGCCACGTGGTGTGTCTGGGCCCCGTGGTCAGAGCTGAGCCCGGCTGAGCTCAAGTGACTCCAGCAGGTCACAGCCCCGGCCAGAGAAGGCTGAGGCAATGCTGTCCTGGTGGGTGATGCAACCCAAGGCTCGGAGAGGGCTGTATTCCTTACTGGAAACATCTGCCTGTCACTTGGCATTTGAATGAGCAGTTGGAAGCTGCTGGTGTCACGGTAATGACTGTGACAGGCTTTTCCATCTCTGAGGAGGAGATGGTTGTGACACTTGCTTTGAGTGAAGCTTTGAAGTCACTGAGTTCTTGTGTTTGAGAACAGGCAGTGAGGATAAATGCTGTGTAAGGCTGTATTTCAGATCAGCCCAGCAATTAACAGTGTCCAGGCAGTGCCATCTGACTGGTGTTGCTGAACCTGTGAACAGCAGCATGCCCTGCCCTGCCAGAGGCTGCTGCAGCCTTGGACCTGAGCGTGGACAGTTCAGTCCTGCCCTACATCCTCTGCTCTTACACATGGGTTGGGTCTGTTTGAGCCTCTTCTCCCCACAGCTCTGTATGGTGCTCCAGGGAACACCAAACACTGCTCTTTCAGGGTCTGCACTTGGCCGCTTCTCCCTCTTTTCCATGTGGGAGTCAGTGGAGAAAAGGCCCTCACTGATTTTAGGAATAAGTTAGGAAGAAAAAAACAGAAGAGACTAGCTGGTTTCAGGAAAGGATTAGTCATCCATACAGCATAAAGGTACTCTCTTTTGTGTATGAAGGATGGGCAATTACAAGCTGGAACAGAATCAAGAATGCAAACTTGTCCTCCCTCCCCCTGACCTATGCTTTGTTTCCCCTGAGTAAAGGAAAGAAAACTGCAAGACTTACATTTTATCTTGAAATTCAGTGATTTTAAGTCATCTTTCAAATTGCAGAGGAGAGCAAGCTGATGAGAGCCCAGTACCACCAGTTTCCATACTTTCCAACCAGTTTAACCACTGAGAGCTGGGCTGTCAGCAGCAGAATCTCAGTGCCAGCCTGGCATTTTGTGTCTTTTCCAAAAGACAGGCTGTAGAGCAGGCTGATGGGAACTGTGCTAGTAAGTGAAGAATCTGCAAACTTGTCCCCAGTTTTCAGGGGTTGCCTTAGGCAGAAGTCACCAGGATGCACCCCCTGGACACTCACACAATGGTCAGTTCCCAAGCAGGATTATAGATAAGGCGCAACTGGCAGGGAGCAGGGTGAGCCTGGTGGTAGTGGCCAGGGTCATCAGAGAGCCCTGATCACCAGAGCAGTCTGCAGTGACGAGAAACAGGATCAGCTCTGCCACCGACTGCCAGCAGAGCTGCAGCAAAGCTCAAGCAAGGAGCAGGGCTGACAGCCTGGGCATGAATACAGCTCATTGCTGGGGCACTTATCACATGTTTGGTCCCCTGTGCCAGCTTCGGGGGATCTGTGGGGTGTTGGTGGCTCCTTCTGGCAAGGCTGGCACATGGGATGAACCTTCCCAGCTTTTGCAGCAAAATTCTGCTTTTACTGCCAAAATTAATCCCATGTAAGCATGAGAGGCAGGGCACACTGCGGGGGGCACACGGAGGGAGCTGGGGAGCTGATGTGGCTTTGCTGTGCTTCAGCATGGAAGAGGGGATGTGTGTGTGGGGAGGGTAACAGGGGAGAAAACGTCCCATCATCCTGCACCTCTGCAAAGGAGTTTCAGGGTGTCCTGCACAAACCCCATGATTCGCTGTGGGTCTCCCCCTCCCTTCCTGCTAGTTGTCTTTGTTTTCATTGAAGAAACTTGGACATTTGACACACACAAGAAAGAAAGAAAGAAAGAAAGAAAGAAAGAAAGAAAGAAAGAAAGAAAGAAAGAAAGAAAGAAAGAAAGAAAGAAAAGAAAAAAAGGGGTAGGATGATATGGTTAAAGCAGGATTTGGGCACTGGCAGAGAGCTGCCGTGGGTGGTGGGTATTAGCAGTAACAGCTGCTGCGCTTCCCATTAGAGGAGCAGGCGAGGAAGGTCCCTGAAAGGATGGGTCTTGGGCAGGCTGGCAGGGCAGTGGTGGCAGCGAGCCCGGCAGAGAACGTGTCCCAAGGTAAGCGCCGGCGGCATCGGCAGCCTGAGCCCGGGCAGCCCCGGGAGCAGCGCTGCTCCCCCGCGGGGATGGGCACAGGAGGGCGGGATGGGAAACGGCACAGCCGGGGCAGCACCCAAGGGAAAGAGCTGCTGCTCGGGGCTACTTCCATGAGCTCCTGCGAGAAATCTTATCCAGCAAGGACTGTTTAGCTGTGCCCAGAAGGGAGGCTGGCTCCATGAAGAGGAGACATCCTGCTGCTGGTCCAGCAGGGCAGGGAGAGTTAGCAAAGGCTCCTGTGATTCTCACGAGCATCTTCCGGCACACAACTGGTTGGAGTGGCAGGATGCTTGGCTGTGGAAGGTTAAACTGCATCCATCTGCTTGCTGCTTCAGGCTGGGCGTGAATTGTTCCGCTTGCAGTGGTGCTTCATTACTCAGCTGGCAAGTTTCAGAGGTGCTTGAGAGGGAGGTGTAAGCTAGACCTCAGCCTCTGTTGCCTCTGATTTATTTACATTTACTCATTGACTAAGTGTAATGACATCCAAGGCAGGCATGTTGAAAAGAAGATGGTAGAAAGTGCTGCATTAAAATCAGAAGCACCTGCTTTGCGATATCCATTACAATAAATGCCACACATTTATCCTTCTTCACTTTGAAAAGTGCATTTTGAAAAAGCAGAATGGCACAATACTCTGCTCAATCTGGAAATGTGTTTTGTGCTTTCACCACAGGGATGCGGCTCTGTGACGGCAGGCAGGGACAGGCTCTGCCCTGGGCACCAGCCCCATATGTGACGGGGCCTGCAGCAGCTCTGCTGGTCCAAAGGGCAGAGGTTTCCCCTATAGGTCAGGCTGTACATTTGGGCTGGGAGTGGTGGGGGATGTTGAGTGTGGCTGTACAGAGCCTGCTCCTCCTCCTAAAACCCACAAGACTTTTTAGAGCAAATCTTTTCTGGCTGCAGCTTCCATGGGCAGCTTCACAAGAAATACATCCTCTTGTGTGGGGCTCTTCCCTCTCCCAGCCTGAACAGTTCACTTCAGAATGTAAATGCTGTGGATTCCCAAAATGGCTCCAGGTGCCACAGAGATCACTTATTCCCTTTTGTTTAAAGACAGGGGGGAGGGTGGCTCTGGAGATCAGATAAATCAATGGCACCATTTGGGAAGCCACTGCTTTGAAGTGAACTCCACGTTGTGTCCTGCTGTAGGATGGAGGATGGTGGGAGAGCCCACACTGCCATTGTTGGCTGGGCCTGCACGACCCTGTGCTTGGTGTCCTACGCGGCCGCCTTCTCGCAGGGCGCGAGCCTTTCCGCCTGCAGCGACATGATGCCCAGGCACCTGAGGGTGCAGCTGCACAGCTCCAACAGCAACTACGTCACTCTCCACACCAACATGTCCTTCTTCTTCCCGGGAGACAAGGTGCCAGGTAAGGAACAGCTTCTCATTCCTGCATCTGAACAATACAGTGTAACTTATCTCAAGCGATGCAATTAATCTCTACGAGGTCTGGGAAGAGAGAACACTGCTCTGAGTGAGCTACAACACCTCTCTTGTCATGAGGACATCTTTACAGAAGAATTCTGTTTGCAGCATGGGTGCTTTTGGTGGGATTCATTTATCTCAGCTGTGTCTCAACCATACCAGACAGATCCCATTACATGCAATGGCCCATGAGAGGGAACCTCCAGTGGGTAAAGTCACCTTCCCAGCCCCTCTGCACCACTCGAAGGGGTCTGGGTGACTCACCTGACTCTTGGGCATGGCTGGCAGCATTTCACATCCCTGCATTGCTGCTCCTCAAGCAGATGCAGACAGAGCTGAGAGGCACCATTCCCCAGCTTGGCCACTTGCCCATTCATCCCTGGGCAAAACAAAACCCCTTTGAGAGCACAACACAAGCTTTCGCTCACATACAGAGCAGTGTCCAAACCTCCTTCTGTAAAAATGGCTGCATGTTGCCTGATCCAATGCGGTTAACAGCTTATCATCAAGGAGGGATGGGGGGAAGTCTCAGGCAAATTCTGTGTGCACTTAAACATTGCAAAACCCAAGGTAAAAGTCTGGCCTTCTGTATGCACCATGTCCAAGACACACAGTGAGGACAAAGACAGTAAAGTGTTTTCAGTAATGTTGCCCAAGATTTTTTTCTGGGAACTCCATTGCAGGCAATTCACTCCATAACAGCAAGACAAATCCCTTTGTGTCCCATGTTTTGTCTTCCAAAAGTGACAGTAAGAAGCACCCGGGATTACATGGGCTTTATGCTGCAAGCTCGCAAAGTGTCCAACAATGAAATCGCTGGCACGTTCATCTTCCTGCCCCCCGGTTCCAAGCTGCTGACTTGTTCTGAAGATGGTGACACTGTCACACACTCGGACAAGTCACTGAAGAGAAACCTGTCCTTCGTATGGAAAGCACCAGACCAACCCATTGGAGACATCAAGTTTTTGTAAGGACATGCTGGTTCCTAATCAGAATTTGTGTCTTCTCAAGTTACAGGCAGTCCAGCACAGTGGTTTATGTATCTTGAACCCAATATAGCTAAATACTTAGAAATGCTGCAACAGTATCCCAGCTGGTACATAAATCACCATTAATATCTGCTGCATAGTGCTGCTTTTTATTTACATGGTCACTGTTTTCTCAGAATAGACTCACTGGAAGATGACAGCTTAAGCATTTTAGGAAACAGAAATATTAAGGCATAAAGAGAGAAAGAACTGTGACCATGTTGCCTGTCTTTGTAAATAATACAGCCCATAGGACTTCCCTATCTAAAGGATAATCTTGTATATCACTTCTTAAAAAAAAAAAAAAGAAATAAACAAAAAAGAACAAAAAAAAAAGAAAAAAAGAGGTAGTTTTAAAAAAAAGTTAATTGCAAACAGAATTACTCACAATAGAAAGAGAGGGAGCACTGTGTCAAAACTTGACATCTCTGTTTTGCACCAAAGTCCTGAACTGTTCAAGCAGCTTGGTTCTGATTTGGAATGAAATTAAACATCTTCTAACTGACTGCCTTAGAGGAAGCACAGTGGCTTTTCATTTCAAAAGATATTAAATTGTTATATTTCAACTTTACAAAGTCACTTAGAAACTGCTTGGCCAGATCCTTGGCTGCTTCCCAAAACCTAAGTGTCCTGTTGAGTGTTGTGGCTTGAGCATCTCATCATGATTCAAGAAAAATTCATTGAAACAGAAATATTGCTGCTTGGAATTTCCAATTTTTGGCCACTGCTTTATATAAGAAAATACTATTACAGTTTAAAGAAATACTATTAAACTCACAAAAAAAAACCCCCAAATAAACCCAAACAAATCCCAACAAGACCTAGTCCTAGCCACCCACTATGATATTTCCTTCACGTCTGGCCTTTTACTCTCTGAGCCGATATCTGATAGACTCTTCCTTTTTATGCTGTCACAGCATCAGGAAAAGAATGCCCTTTTAGGCTTAAAAACGCCTCCTAAGTGTCATTTGGCACAGGAAAATCCAGGTTGGTTTCCCCTTAGATAATTCTCAGAAGCAGCTGAGCAATCTGAGCTGAAATTTTACCAAAATCTCCAGCTTAAATAAGGCTCTCGGGGTGCAGTTAAAACACAGTTTTGGCACCTGACAAAAAGCAGAGGATTAGGCAGGCTCAAATATCAGAGGGCTGAGAAGAGAGGCTTTTTCTACCCCTTACCTATTCTGCTGTTTGTACAAGTTACATTGGCTTGTTTTAATTAATAAATACCACTGTTGTTTCCCTGCCTACAGAAGATTGTAAGCAGAGCTAGTCCAAGTTTTACAAATGTACTTCTATCAACATGATGAATGTAATACAACTTTTTAATTTTTTTTTTTTGTTTAAGTTTCCACACATTTTTTGGCTGAACTTAATTATTTATTGAGTGGTGATTCTTCACCCCAAATCTTTCTTATGGGTTCTGGTACCTTTTATTTGTAATAGAAAACTTACGACAGGCTAATCCTTTAAAATACTTTTGCATTGGTTCTCTTTTCAGATTAAAGCAGTCTTTGTGATTAGCTAAACAGTTAGATGTTTTATTAATGCTATAGAGCCAGTAAATTCTTGCCTGATTATGTTTTAACAGCATCTCTATAGTCCAGTCATACTTTGTTTACTGGGCAAAGATTGAATCTGCTGTTGTGGCTCAGGGAGGGCAAAACAAGACCCTTGCTGACAACAAGCCTGACATCGCAGCCCCCACACCCCTGCAGGGACCAGCTGACCCTCACCCCACAGGTATGGTGAGAAAACCTTGCTGTTTCTTACCAACACCCCCTGCAGAACAGTATTACAGCTTAGTCTGGGCAAATGTCCAACAGAAGTGGCCCAAACAAGCTGGGGAACCCATTTAACTCCTGTGTCTTTCATGGAGATCAGTGATGGCCATGGTGAGCTCCTTGAAGTGAAGGGGTGGGTCAGTATTTGAGGTGTGGGTCAGTATTTGAGGAGCCAGTTCCAAGGAGGGAACCAGAAAGTTAAATGGGGTTGCCAGATCTTATGATTTCAATGCAAATCTTAAAATACTTTACCTAAAATCTCAGCTCTTGAAAAGAAGAAAGTGCATTTAGCAATGCTGCCTAAATAGAGGAATATATTTGTCTCTAAATATGATTATTGCCCTCCAGGTATATAATTAGTTGTATTTATGCAGCCTCTGGTCAGTAAGATGCTCTAAGAATTTACATATACCTAAATCAGATGTATTTCTCAGCATTTTTGGCATGGCACCAAGGTTAAGTTTTAATTATTTTACATGACCATTACATAGGCAGGGAGCTTTGCTGCTTTAATTTCCATGTGGGCTCCCTCTTAAAAATAAGTTACATGAAAATAAAAGAATCACTGTTACAAACCTTCCTGGCAAACCTTGGCACCGAGTGGGATTTGAAATAAACAAACCAAAGACAATACACCTCTGCTCCTCTCTCCCTGATCTTTGTTTTGTCTCCCTGCTGGCCAAGGTCCCATCTCTCCTGCAGCTGCCACTGGCTCCCTGCTGCCTGCCAGCCCCAGTGGCATCGTGGCAACACCAGCACCAGAGCCAGGTTTTGGTGTGGGGTCGGAGACTCGTCCCGTTGCTGAGCCAAAGCAGCCGGCCCGGACTTCGCGGGCTGTGTCCGGCAGGAGTATCCGGTCCAGAGGCAGGGGACTGGAGCTGTCCCTTCCCACCCAAGATGCTGGAATGGTGGATGCATTGCAAGGTTCCCTCTCCCAGAACAATGCCTCCAGCTACAGCACCTTCAATGGGTAAATCTAAGTGGCGGGAAAAGCTGTTTCTCCAGTCCTTGTGGGGAAGGAAAATAGTAGCAGTTTCCCTGCAGATGAACAAGGAAAATGTAGGAAGGTGCCTCTGTGTAGGAAGGTGTCTGGGGGAGGTGATAGGGTGTTTGTTTGCTGAGATTTTGAGAAATAATCTTTTGGATATTGCACATGACAAACAGTAACAGGGAGAAAATCCAAAACTCCTAAGAACTCAACACTGTGTTGCTCAGCACAGTGGGGGACTGGCCAGGTGGTGGAAAGATGTGATAAAAACTATCGACTGCTATAACATTCTTCTGAAAGTGCATACAAGTATTCAGTGAAACAGTGAACTCAGCAGGCCTATTTCTCCATCTGCAGGGAAAAGGAAATAAAAAGGATGCAAAGCAATTATAACATTTGGGTTGAGGATGTCTGCTCAGAAATTTTAGAAGGTTTGGGCTGCATAAGCTTTCATACAGTATTTCATATTGTGGGTGAAAATGATGGGGATAGGAATTAATGATCATGCATAATTCAAAATACAGGTTGTATGATCCACATTGACTGCATGCATCCCAAAACTGCTCTAAGGAGCAGCACTTCTTGCTGGTGTGAGCCACAGGTGTCACTTGCTAACCCTGCCTTTCCTCTGTCCATATTTCAGAGCAGGAAGCATTGCCAGCACTGCCACCCTCCACTTGTGTTTGACGTGTACAGGCAACAGGAAGGTAAGCACCAGGGGTGGGGAGGACACCCTAGCAGCCCATGTAGGTGTCATAAGTGGCTAAAACTACACTGAGACTGTTGAAAATCTTAATTTTTTTTCCTTAACAGGAAATTGGCTTTTATGTCTCTTTCTAGTTTGGTTTTTTTTTTTTTCTTTTGAGCCCACTACTTGGGTTTTTAACAGGCCCACTGTAAAAACAATTGCTTTCCCTTATGTAGATGTGACTACAGGCTGCTGGAAATGTGTGTGCTTAGAGATACAGGACACAGAATTAACAGGGTAAGTCCACTATGCAGGTGATGGAGAGAAGATAAATAAAATGAGAAGAAAGAACTAGATCTGGTTTCCAAAATGCCAAAGGAGAAAGAGAAATTATCTCACAGAAAATAAAAGAGAAAGTGGATGTACAGCACAGAATAAGCCAAAAATATTTAGGAAGGAGCAGAGGACATAGAACAAGTAAAGGAGAGATGTGTACCATGAGCACCTGGCATAGCCATGGAGAGAAGTGGAGAACAGGCAGTAGAGGAAAACCAAAGGGAAGGACAAGTTATTGCACAAGGCAAGATCAGAAGAGCATAATGAAACAAAAATACTGAGAAATTAGGCAAGAATGGGGAGTAGTATGAAAAGAAAGGATTTGAGATAGGGCAAGGACTTAAGAGGCAGTTCCATTTTCTATCCCAAAGTCCCAAGTCCTGCAGCATATCCCAGCATTTGCATTTTGAGGGTAAGTGATCCACAGACATGCAATCCTCACTTTGCCAGCCTGCTACTTTATAGTTTGCAGTTCAGCCACTGAAAGTCTTCTATTTACTACTGTATTTTAATAGCACCTTCAGAAACCATCCCTTCCACAAAGGATGCTCTGACCCTCCACTACTTTGCTTTACAGCTTTCCAGGGCTCCTACCTCAGCTTTGTGCTCCTGTCACACTGTCTTCCCAGGAAGCTTTAGAAATCCCTAATGATGGTAGAGGGTGAGAGTTTCTCTGGTGTAATTAATGGATGTGTGAAAAAGCCTGCTGGGCTGGACAGGCTGGAGAGGTGCCAGCTATTGAGGGCCAGATCCAAATCTCAGTGGAGCCAAATTAAAAACTCCAGTACATTTTGCAGGTTTTGATGGGGGCTCAGGTGCATAGTGGGAATGGAAAAATTCATTGGGGGCCTCCTAAATTGCATGCTTGTTCCCGAGTTAGTCTCGGATGATACCTGCAGCAAAGCCTGAGCTGCAGAACTGGCGTGGAGCAGCTGGCATTTTGTGACAGTTAAAATAAGGAGCATGGAACCAGGCAGTGCCCAGAAACAGGGCCAGGCAGGAACTGACATTCCCACTGAAATGGGTGGTTAAGCAACACAGAGGGCATAAGACTGGCTGTGAACTGAGACAGCAAGACAGGCTTTGGGGAGAGTTTATAGGTTGTATGTGAATGCCCCAAACTGCTGATGGCAAAGGCCATCCCAAGTCTCCCGTGTGCCTCCTTAGAAGGGCAATACTGAATCCCAGTGGGTCCATGTGAGCCTACCCATGCAGCTTGGCTGGGAAAATCACACCTGCCCTTTCATGTGACCCTGGTGCCACTCAAGGTGGGCATTGTTTATTAAGTGATATTATTTTGTGATAATGATGCCTGTGAAAAATACCACCACCACAACAGGAACTGCAGACATTTCGTTAGACAAAGCAGTGACCTTCCTCTGCACCTTCACCTTCACCCTTCACCTTTGTCCCTCCAACCCACACTGCCTTTGCCCCTGGGACCAACTCGGGTGCCTTGTTCCTCCCATGGCAATTCTGGTATGGAGGGCTGCATCTGCTTCATTTTCTAAAAGCTACTGAGTAAACAGGGAATAGAGAAGGGTTAATCTAAAGCCAGAGGGACACAAGGGCATCAGAAACAGAGTTGAAGTGTTCCATGAGGTAGGTAGTGAGAACTTAATCAGCCCCCTTTTCTCTTCCCTCACTGCACATTTTGGCATGTTTTTGCTTTCAAAGGGCAGTACTGAGAGTGGGACCATCCTGAAAGCCTCCCCACGTGTGACAGCGACTCCCTCTGCCCTGCACGCGCGCACTCACCCGGGCGGCATTGCTGCAACCACAGCCTGGCTTGGTGATGCCAGCACTGCTGGCAATTTGTCCTCGGCATCAAGGCAAATGGCAGAAAGAGAGCTGGCACCGCAGCCAGAGGAGGCAGGCACCAGGGCTGAGGACGACAAGGATGAGCAGAAGGAAGCTGGGAATACCCTGCCTTGGGTGACCAGACCAGCTCCCGAATCTGCTGTTCCCGGGAGAGGGGAAGGCCCTGGCAGAGGAACCCGACTCCTTGCAGCCCAACTTGGCATCCTCCTGGTCTGCACGGCCGCGCTGGGCCTGCTGCTGGCAGCTGCCATGCGCTGTGTCTGTGCCCAGCACTGCCACAAGCGGGCTGAGGTGTCCTTCAGCGAGCCCGACCCCGACATCATCGCCATCACGGAGAACGGGAAGGTGATGCACTTCCGAAAGATCCGGGACAACAGCTTCGTGCTGGTGCCAGCTGAGTGCAACTGGGTCAGCCCCTCGAGCAGCACGAAGAAGACTGTGGTGGTTTAGTCCCTCTTTGTGCTGCCATATAGGCAAACTAACCCAAAGCAGCCAGTTCAGACAGAAGTGTTAGGCAAAAGTATCTAAACTACAGCTGCTGAGAAAATTGAAGCTGATAGATTGCTCAGTGTGTTACACTTACTGCAATTAATATTGTATATCTGCTCATTAGCTGTCACCGTGGCAATGACATACACTTCTTCTGTTGCCTTAAGGGTGTAGCCAAAAATAGAAATTCTTCCTCTGCACTGTGGTATTGACTCCTGTTTAATCTCAGAAAAAAAGTTTCTAGTGTTATATTTCTTTCTAAGAACTACAAACCCAACCATTCTCATTTAAGAGCTTACAGGTTTGATTCCATGCACTTGGTATCCCTCGGATGACAAATATTTGCCATAAGATTTCAAGTTGCAATTTGAAAATAAAAAGCAATAACTCATTAATGGAGAACATTGATCCCAAGAACTCTGAATTGATCCATGGAGTGAAACACAGGATGGCAGACACCAGCTTTTGGGGGAGAAACATGCCTCCTCATCAGGTGCAAATGGAAGAAAATCTTTCCTGTCCATTTGCACCTGATGAAGAAGCTTGTTGAAGCCTGACAGCCAACATTTATTTAGTCTTTTACTTTGAGTGTCAGCTCAGTGACACTGTGCAGAAACACGGACTGAGAAGTACCCTTCCCAGGTCACTTTGGAGCCCTGCAAAGGCTGCTTGGGAAGTTAACATCATCCTTGTGTTCTGAGTTTGTGCAAACTTCTCTCTGACCCTGTGGTTTTCCACAGGAGACCCCTAAAGCAACTCTTGGAAACCAGCATGATCCTGGACACCTCCTAAGAAGGAGAGGTGACAACAGCAAGGGTAAAGTTTTATTTTACTGCAGCTTTAAAAGAGCCAGAAATAGACCTGATAATGATCCTCTTGAGATGTACATTTTAGAGCCTTTCAGAGAGCAGGAATTGACCCTCTGGTGACCTTTTCTAGAGTGGATCAGCTCAAAGCTGATCATCCCCAAGCCATGTAGTGGAGGACAAACGTACATTTTGGTGCTGCAGGCTAATTCACAGCCCACAGCAATCCCCCTGAACCAGGCAGATAATGACAGGACTCTGATGCTTCACCCAGCCTTCCTGGTGGCATCTTCCCCTCTGTCAGGAGGGCCCTGTGGCCATCTCCAACTAGTTGCCCATCTCCATTCTGGATAGTCAGTCATCCTGCTCTTACATCCTCCCTTATCTCACCACTGACTTCAGAGGAGGCAGATGGGACATGAGTTCTCCTGCTCCAGCTCCAGGACGATGCACAGAGTGCAGCTCTTGCTAACAGTGCCTTCCATTAGCATTCAGAAAGAGCTGGTTTCTGACCATACTGTTGCACTGTGATTTGTGCTGTACACATGGACAAGGTTTTAACAACTTCACTTCTAGACCTGGGCAAAAGAAATGAGTAAGAAAAGAAATGTACTCACAAATGTAGCTTGCAGAGATGAGCTTGATGTTCTTAACCACTGCACTTTGAAGAGAAGGGCAACTGCACCATAGCACTTTACTGCAGAGAAAACAAGGGTAGTGCTGTAATTGAAAAGACAAAGTTTGGTTTAGGACTCAGAAGGATGCCAGGTGAATGGTTATATAATCACTAATTGAGCTTATGCTCTACCTACTAGTAAGTCTCCAGGTTTTTAAGCACACATCTAGACATTTACAATGGCATTCCTCTCCTGTGTCATGTGCCTTAGAAAGAAATCATGTTTCTGTAACCCAGTGTAGCTGAACTGTGTAGTGACTAAAACAGACTGCATTCAAGTCATTGTTAATGCAGCCAAAAAAAATCCTAATTAACTGAGAAAATAGGTCAACAAACTCTTACATATTTAAAGAACTATCACATATTATTTTAGAAAGTTTCTTATGATGGCATAGCTCTTTATGAATAAATTACAAATACCTATGGCCTCTTTCACTGTTTCTCTAGAATTAATGTTACTAGACTGTTCTCGCTATAAAACCAGAACCTTCCTCTCAGCTCTTTCCCCACAACCCAGCACTGCCTCTTTCTAGGCTGACTAGAGCAAGAGAAGGCCTCATGGAGGTGTTTGATTGGGAGAGTGGCACTTCAACACCATTCTGCCTTCTGCCAAACTCTGCCTTCTGCTAAATTGATGTGCTCCAGTGTTAACAGCAAGACCAGTAATGGTGAGCTCTGAGGGATACAGCTCTTCTGAATTAGTAATGAGTTTTGCTACTTTGAGGCTCTCTTGGCTGAGACCTAAAGTGCCTGTGTCTTTTTCTTGACTTCTGAATGATGTTCTGTTTGTTGTAGTTGCCACGACAGGAGGAATGGAGGTCTTATCTCTTCTTAATGCTGTTAAAAACACGAGCACTGGTTAATTTATTAAAAGGCAAATCATTCAAACATCCCCATTCTTAACTGACTTACTTTATATGGAAATTAGTCTGTGCTCATGCTTGCAACAGATTTCTGAGAAAAAAAAGAAGTCAGAATTAGGAAAACAAGGGCACAAACCACTCTAATATTTACTGAAGAGACACGTGAAAGACTTGCCTTATATCCCTCTCTAGGTGCATGACTGGGCTCGTCACAGACGTTCTGCTGGAATTGGGATTTCAGTTCCTCCAGAGCAGCTCAGCCTGCAGCCACCTGTGGGCCAGGCTGTCATCCCTCAGTGAAGTGACATGGTTTGGGGCCAGAAGTACTGAAAGCAGCTAATGCACACCTCTCCTCAGCCTGTCTCCCCACCAGCCAAACAAGCATCAAAACATAGTTTAGGCAGTAAAAATGTCTATGACTAGTGCAATGCTTGAGCTACACTTACTCAAGAAAAAAAATATTTAGAAATAACAAAATATAATGTGGAGATGTTGCACTAAGCAAGACAGCTGATCCAAAGCTTGGACATCACAGACATTTCCAGCATTGGTTGAATTGCCACTAGTAAGCAAAAAAAAGCCAGGCATGCACGGATTTGGCCAGCTCCAAGAAGGGTGGCAAGACTCACAGGAGAAGCCCCAGGGCCCTGTGGGCGCAGCAATCATGGTCATCAGGGATGTGCGAGCTCAGGCTCTCCCAAATCAGTGTGGGATGTGGCCCCAGGCATTTCAGAGATCTGGCTGGCTGGCTGGGCCAGCTCTTTTGGCACAGTTTCTGCAAATAGTCAGGACCACAAAAGCAAGGAAGGCAAAGCAGCAAGGTCAGGAACCCAGAGAGTAAAACATTCAGCAGATACATGTGTTATTTATTCACTCACATTTAAATAATAATGACAAATGCCTGTAAAAAAGCAAAGGAGAAGCTCTAACAATTTCTGCAACATTCAGCTCCAAAAAGACAGCTGCTTAGCAGCAAAACCAAACAGCAAAGTAGCAGCCTGACCTGCAAAGGTGGTGAACAGCAGAACAGACGTCTCACTCCTCCTGGCAAGCTGGACCCTTTCACTGCCCCTGCCAGGCCCTTAAGGCTCATTGTGTCTGGACAGCTCTACAGGCCTCCCTTCCTTCGCTTTCCTTTCTCTCTCCTGCCAGTTCATCCAAGGCTAGGAGAGGGCAGAGAAGGACTTGGGGAGTCACAACTTCCCCTGGACCAGGAGCTGCTCAGAGATCTCTGCCAGCCCCTCCCTGCCACCAAACTGCTTTCCCTCCACAGGTCTTGTCTCGCCAGCCCTCCTTCCTCATTAGTGTGTGTGTGACTCTCTCAATAAAACATTTTGCTACATGATGTATGAAGGACCGTGTCTCAAACCACATTTTACTGTATATTTAAGTGCATGTTTTCCTGATTTACTACTGTTCTAGAGAATGTTTCCCTCCCCGAGCAGGGCAGGCCCGTAACGGAGACATCAGCTCTGACTAATGATTATTAGTACATCCCAAGGTTATGTCCCACAATCAAATAATGTGTAGGAGGGAAGAGAGACTCCAGCTTGCTCGGCTGAGGACAAAGATCACAGATAGTCTCTTTCAATCTTCAGATTGCAATATCCATTACAGATTGCCACCTTCTAATGTCAAAGTATAATTTGTTGTTGAGAAAATGTGTTGCTGTTCCAAAGGTGAGTCAAAGATCAGGCTGGCTGTATATCAGAGCATGTTGATGTACATTAAGAACTGACGGCCAGGTACCAAGGACATCGGGCAGCTGGTGCAGAGAGGGAACGGCAGCAGACGTGACTTGCTGATCCTTCCTGTGCAAACACACGGCCCGGAGTGGGAAAATATTTAACCCAGTCGGAGTGAGGTGTCACCAGTAATTGCCAGTGTCTGAGGCAGCACCAACGCGACGTGTCAGAGGCAGCGGCTGCCTGCAGAGATGTCTGCCCGCGCGGCTTGGGGCAGGAATCGTGTAGTACCGGGCGGATCCGTGCGGGCCCACGCCGCAGGATCCATCCCCAGGATCCATTCCCAGGGATCCATCCCAGGGATCCATCCCCAGGCATTCCCCGCGCTCCCGCCGGCCGCCGCCAGGGGGCAGCGTTGTCGCGGCGATGGCGGCCCCGCGGCCGGGCCCGTTCCGGCGGGAGCGCTGGCGTGGAGGGAGGGTTTGTAACCCTTCCCCGCACTTATCAGTGACACTTCAACTTAAATGGTTTATACTCTGTCTTAATTACCAAGCCACTAGTGGGCATACACCGTTGTCCACAGTGCTATTTTAAATTCCCAACTGCAGTTTGTGTTTGTTTTTTTTTTCTTTTAGAAATCCACTACACAAACGGTGCTGGGAAAACAATAGGCAGGGTGGAAGTTGTCTTATGTCCCTTCTCCTGACAGCTTCCTGCTAACAAAGACGTTTCTGACAAGGAAAAGCAAACCTCCTCCAGTTCCAGCAGTGCCACGTGGTGTGTCTGGGCCCCGTGGTCAGAGCTGAGCCCGGCTGAGCTCAAGTGACTCCAGCAGGTCACAGCCCCGGCCAGAGAAGGCTGAGGCAATGCTGTCCTGGTGGGTGATGCAACCCAAGGCTCGGAGAGGGCTGTATTCCTTACTGGAAACATCTGCCTGTCACTTGGCATTTGAATGAGCAGTTGGAAGCTGCTGGTGTCACGGTAATGACTGTGACAGGCTTTTCCATCTCTGAGGAGGAGATGGTTGTGACACTTGCTTTGAGTGCAGCTTTGAAGTCACTGAATTTCTCTGGCTGAGAAGAATTTCTTCCTAATATCTATTCTAAACTTACCTTCACTTTAAAGCCTCCTTGTCCTATTACTACTTGCCCTTGTAAAAAGTCCCTTTCCAGGTTTATTTTAGCCCCTCTGTTTGCAGGGGCTCCCAGAACTTCCTGTTAACAGCTTGCAGAAAAACATCCTGTGTGGCATCATGGTCTCTTTGGGAGGTTCACTGCCACCCCACTCTGCAGCTGCTTGCCAGAAGCTCCTTCCCAAAAATTACCCGCTGGAGCACATGGCTCCTGCAGACAGCATGCACGTGTCCAGTCTGGTTACAGCCATGGCAAGCAGTGTAGCACAAGTCACATATGCCAGAGATACCCACACAGTGTCATCCTTCCTGTGCAAAGCACAGGGGACATGGATGCAGCACAGTCCATGCTGGCCACGTCAGCCACAGCAACACCCTCTGGGAGGCTCCCTGTCCTTGATGTCTACAAGGGCTAGTGCTGTTCTGGGCCCACACTGACAAAGGCAGTTGTGGCACCTGGATTGTGAGGCCAAGGACACAGCTTGTGTCTGTGAGACTGGCTCCTTGATCCTCCCTTCTCCCTATCTGCCATGCTTACACATCCCCCTCATCTTCCTTGACTCCTCTCTTTCTCTGACATTCTCTCCTCCCTGCTATCTTTTTCCCCTGAATCTAAGGTTTGTCCCACCTGTGGACAGACTTGGTGTTGCAGGTGCTGTTAACTAGCTCACCTTGGCCTTCCATGGCAATACAGATGCAGTTTCCTGGGTCCTTCTGCTCCTACCAGGTTCTCCTCCCCAGAATGACCCCAACTCTTCCTTCAAACATCTCTGAAGTGTGGTCACCTTACACATCAGTGTCCCTTTGCTACCTGTGAAATCTTGCTCTTCCTTAGGGCACTGTAGCTCCTTTCAGCTTCTCCCTGTCTTTGTGACAGTCAGAAATTTTGCTTGTCATGCTGAGGAGCTTCCCAGTTCTGCTCCGTTAGCTAAGGCTTTTGCCAGGCCCTAGTCACCAGCTTGTGCGCCTCAATGTGTCCCTTCCCAAGGTGCCTGCATGTGGCATTGTCTCCTCCCGTCATCTTCCTAGCCTTGATGTGCCAGTCTTCTCCATCTTGTGGTGGTTCTGAGCACTCTTCTGTCTGATCAGACACAGTTCCAGCCCTTTAGAGTGACTCCCGTTGTGCCCAAGTGGTTTGAGGCAGCCTCATTTTGTAAGTCCTGGGCAAGGAAGTCCTTGCCTTGCCCAAGAGACCAAACTGGACTGAAAGCATGGTTAACTACAAACATAGGCAACTTTATTTCAACAACTAAGTCAACATTAGCACTTGCATACATGTAGAGGAGCAATGGGGGCAAGACAGAGGAAGCCTTCGGCACTGAGGCGGCCTTTGGATCAGCAGGCATTGCCTCAGCAGGAAACAGTCACAGTCCCATGCAACCTGCACTGGATCCTGTCCATTCTCCTGCTCAAACTGCAATTCCCTGTAGGTTCTTCAGGAGCTCCCGTATCTTAGTGAAGAATTCCATCAGCTTCTTGAGTGGAAATGGGCAGGTCTTAATCTCTTCCACTGGTGCAGGAATCACACTTGGCTTTGGAGTGGGCAGTGTTGTTGGCCATGGCTTTGGAGCAGGCAGTGTTGGTGGCCATGGTGTTGGAGGGGGCAGTGTTGTTGGCCATGGCTTTGGAGCAGGCGCTGTTGTTGGCCATGGCTTTGTAGGGGGCAGGGTTGGTGGCCATGGCTTTGGAGCAGGCGCTGTTGTTGGCCATGGCTTTGTAGGGGGCAGTGTTGGTGGCCATGGCTTTGGAGCAGGCGCTGTTGTTGGCCATGGCTTTGTAGGGGGCAGTGTTGGTGGCCATGGCTTTGGAGGGGGCAGTGTTGTTGTTGTTGGCCATGGCTTATAAGTGGGAGGTGGTCTTGGCCATGGCTTCTGAGTGGGCCATGGGGCATTTGTATGAGGAGTCCATGGTTGTGAAGCAGTTGGATAAACACTCCATGACCGAGAAGCCTCTACCTGTGGAAGCAGATCCATCTGGACCAGAATCCAGTCATAGAAGTGCTGAACAGAAGTGTATATTCCAGGCCGTTTTGCTCTGGCGCAGCCTCTTCCCCAGCTGGTCACTCCAACAACCCAGAAGAAGCCAGCGCTGTTGTCTCGGCACATGAGTGGACCCCCACTGTCACCCTGCAGAGAACCGGGAGGATTAAGGAGGTGTTGGGTGGCCCCTGTCAGCACTGGTGCTGTCTCCTTCTCTCTCACAGCCCTGTACGGAGCTGTATTCTCAGCTGAGCAAGCCTCTGCTAAGGTGATGGAGCCTCCAGAAGCTTGGCAGGGAGTGGGTTTGGGGCCTGTGAAGTCAGGCTCTCTCTGAGCTCTGCACAGTGATCCTGGATGTGCAGAGGACAGATGTTTCAGCATTGGCATCTGGATGTCTAGACTGCAAAGAGCACTAGCAGGGCCTTTTGGGCAGAGTGCCAGGTGAGGGGACAAGGGAGGTCCTGGGCTAGGCCCTGCACATGGGGAATGGCTGGGAAGCCCCAGCAAAGGTGGGGAGCCAGGGATGAGAGAGTGACTGGCCAGGGAAAGCAGGGGCTAGGCTGTGTTGGGGTGCTGCTGCCTGTGCTGCTGGGGGCTGAGTGACTTGTCACTGAGTGACATTCCTACCTGGCAGGTGTCGATGCCACCCTCCGGGTAGCCAGCACACAAGTTGTGGGTATGGACATCCCCCTGGTACCACTCACTGCTGTTGCAGACCTCAACATTGATAAGGTGGACCTTGGCCTCCTGCAGGACGTCACTTGATTGTTGAGCTGTGAGCACAGAAAGGAATGAGAACCCGGCAGCTCCCTGCCACTTTCCCCATCTGGAGGTGATCCCCTTCCCTAGGGTTTGGCTGTGCTTCTACAGAGGTGCTGAAGCTCTCTGTCCCTCCTGTCTGCCTTTAGGGAGTGGGCAGCCTTATTCTGACTTTGGCCTCTGCTGTCAGGAAGCCCAACCCATCTTCCCAGTGTATTGAGCTTGCCCTCCATTTTTGGAAACTCACATCTTGCAGTGGTGGCACCCCAGCCAGCGACATAGCAGTTTTCCAGCTGTGCCACGTTCAGCGTGGCGTTGGGCACGCAGACCAGCTGGATGTAGGAGCTGCACTGGACAGGCTCGTTGAGCTCCAGCAGCGCAATGTCGTTGCTCTGGTCGGCAGGACTGTAATCCTTGTGAATCAGCAGCCGCTTAATCAGGCGCACCTCAGCCCCAGGGCCCGGCTCGGTCAGCTTCGTGGCCCCGAGCAGCACGCGCATGTCACTGAGGTTCCTGAGGGCACGTGGAGAGAGGGGTGAGAGGGAGCAGAGCCTGGAGCTGTGGCAGCCCAGCAGTGACCAGCCTTCTGCTTCTCGAGGCAGAGAGGAAAGCAGCTCTGTGGGGGCGGTGACTGCTCCACCCGCCTCAGGCTCTGGGAATGTCAGCTGGAGGCTGCTAGGAAGCAGGGGCATGTGCCCAGCTTTCTCCTGAGCAATTTCTCAGCTGGGCTCTGCATTGCCCAGGCACTGGGCATACTGCAGAGAAATGAGATGGGAGATGTGTATGGCACTTGCTGACAGGGCATCTGCTGATTTTGTGGGGATATCCCTGTTTCTTGCTCCTGCTTACCTGGACTCAGTAAAGCAGTGGGCTGCTGTGAGGACCCACTGTGTGCTGATGAGGGACCCTCCACACAGATGCCCCGTGCCTGAAACCGAGGGATCTTGGATGCTGACGAGCCAGGGCCAGGCCCCGGACTCAGCACTTTTGCCACCCACGACGCGTGTCATGCCTCGCTCATCATCAGAAGTCAAGGGCCGGAGCCCACAGCTCCCTCTGCAAGTAGAAAGTCATTTCCATCTGCTCCATGGCTGGCTGCTGCTCCAGCAGAAGCTCCCCACAAGGTGTGCGGGGACAGCACGCCAGGGAAGGCCATGGGGTGTGTGCTGGAGGCTTCCCCGTGGGGTTCGTGAGGCTGTGGCCTGGCCATGAAGGACAAGCAGGCCCTCTCCAGGGAGCCCCAAAGTGCTGCCCAACCTCCTTCCCAGAGCCTGGGGCCACTTACTCGCAGGTGTTCCACACACCCTGAGCAGGCCTGAACGCGGCCAGCAGCACAAAGAAGCAGAACAGCAGCATTGCTGCCCGTCGCTTGTGTCAGCTACAGGAGCAAGAACTCCGTGTGCCAGCACAGGCGCAGTGCTCACAGCACTGGAGCGCCTGCAGCACCCTGGGTTGATGTCACAGAGCAGCCGGTTCCATGGTTGGGGCACTGCAGCTCTGGCACAGGGAGCAACGTGGAACCATGGAATGGTTTGGGTTGGAATAGGCCTTAACATCATCCAGTTCCAGCCCCTGCTTTGGACAGGGACGTCTCACACCAGATGCTGCTCAAAGCCCCATCCAACTGGGCCTTGAACATTTCCAGGGATGGGGCACCACAGCTTCTCTGGGCACCCTGTGCCAGTGCCTCACCACCCTCACAGTGAAGAATTTCTTCCTGATATCTATTCCAAACCTGCTCTCTTTCAGCTTGAAATCATTCCCTCACTACTTGTCCTTACAGAAAATCCCTCTCCAGCTTTTTTGTAGGCACCTCTGCTTGCAGGATGAGGGTGTGCAGGCCCTACAGCACAGGGAAGCACAGATCCATTTGCCAGCAAGATGGACAATTTTGTTTTCATTCTTTAAAATATGACAATTTGACTGACTTTTCCTATCCTACTGACTTTTCCTTAGTACCTAAGTAAAAGTCAGTTTGGTCATATATGTGTGGTATTTTGGCCTGTGTATCTAAAATGGAAAATACCTGTGTCCCTGCTCTCCAGGATGACTTCTCAGCCAGTCAGCACTCTCTGAAGGACTATGAAGTACTAAGTGCTGCCTACAAAGAACAAGGCATAGAGAAAAAACTGATGAAAGCACATGGTATTAAGAAGCATTGAGATATATCTGATAAAAATCTAGCTTTGCTTTCCATCCCAGCCCATATATTCTGAAAACCTCCTGAAGATCCTTAACCAAACAAAAAATAAACTATGTAATCAAAATGGTATCTAAATATTAAACTGCTGACTGATACAGATGTATACAATTAATATGTGTATATACACATATTGTTCTAGTTGCAAAGTACTTTCTACCCCTTTTTCTGTTTTCAGACAGAGCAAGGAAAAGACACACACAAAGAAGAAAAAAATGAGAAACTTGAAAAAGAGTCAAAATCTATATTTGCAAACCAAATTAAATTTTTGGACACCTCAGTGTTTAAGCACTTTCTTTTCAATCTTATTAAAAGTGCCCAGTTTTCAGAGAGTACCTGTCTTCCTAGAGTGATGGTTACCTGATGTGTCAGTGACAGCTGAGCATCTACCATCATTTCTTATTTCTGGAAATATAGACCCCATGTGTTTAACACTTCTTCAGATTGTCAGTGTCTTTTAAGGAGTTGGTGAAACATTTGCATTGGTTTTACTTATCTGAGTTATTTTCCCATTCTTATGATCACCCTTTTTCTTAGTGAGAGGTTAAATTTCTGGGGTAGTAATATCCATCCACATAAAAATGAGGGCTCAATACATTTTAAAAGGGAGAGTCATTTAATCATTGATGAATGTACAATATTCTGAGTAAGTCTTAAAACCACCAGAGGTCACACATGGGTTTCTTCCTTCCCCTTTTCCTCTTCCAGCTTTTTTAAAAAATGTGTTTGTTTGCCAGTAGAGCTGGGTTTTTGATAGAACAAGGTAGCTAAATTTCATGTATGGAAAATACTGAAAAATAACTGCATTCAATGTTTGAGCAGACCTAGTGATTCTAAACACATATTTTCCTGTGAAAATTAATGGTGTGCCCAGAATATGAAATGGTGCTGGTTGCATGACTTGGCAAATTTATAATGCATTATTTTAGTGACAAACAGGAGAAATTAAAAGGATGTGGATTTTTTTGTTGTTGTTGTTTTGGGGGATTTTTTTGTTTGGTTTGTTTTGGGTTGTGGGGTCGGGGTTTTTTTTGGGGGGTTTTGTGGTGGTTTGGGGGTTTTTTGGGTGTTTTTTTTGTTGTTGTTTTTCCCTTTAAGATGGATACAGCAGTCAACACATTTGGAGAGATCTCATACAATGTTAATTGAGTAATATCAGCTAGAACCACAACTTCTGCTGGCATGAGGGTCATCTAGAAAGTTATTTTTTTGGTGAAGATGCTAAACAGATAAATATTTGAATGGGATATATGTCTCATGCTGATTTGAAATTTATTAGAGAAATACAGACTTTGGATAAACTACATTGCTCCTGTCTTCTAATTTCAGCCAGCAGCAGCATCCTCTGTGTGTGGGTACAAACACTGGTATCTAGGTATAGATGTTAAGTACATATTAGTATTTGTTAATTCATACAGTTTTGTGGTATTATGTCTTGCAATTAGTTGAGACATGTTTCAACTCTAAATCAATTCTGATACAACAACAACAAAAAATTTTCAAGGGTATGTAAAATCTAGTTGGAAGTGGGTGATCAGACTCTTCCATTAATTAGTTAAAAATCAGATGATGGAATATGTGCTGCAGAAGCACCAGTGACTGCACCAAATAATCTCAAATCAACAAAAAGCTAATTAAATAAACATAATAGTGATCTACAATTTTCAATATTCTTGAAAGATAGGAGGGGCACAAAGTATCTCCAACTTCCAGAAGAGAGGGAACTGAAACAGTGGAAGATGCTGTAGTATTTTAGAACCTGGTCAGGGCCCTGGGCCGTCACTGACACACAGACAGACACACAGACACAAAGGGAGTCCAAGTTGAAAGTGATCAACTCCACTGTCAGCTCTGGCTTCTCAGGAGACTTGGGGTGCTCCATAATACCAGGGAGGGATAAATAACTGAGCCACTCATTAACACAAACCAGTTACCTCCAGTCTCCAGGTGTGTCGAGTTCCCTAGAAACTAAGAATTCACACTTACCAAGAATCCATGCCTGCCAGCCCTCTCATTTTCCAAACTGCAAAAAAACCAAACAATAATAAGGCCCAGGACAATCTTCAGTCCAAATTTTTCACTTGAAGTCAAAGGACTAATTTGACTTTTGATTTTTAAAGGACAACTATCACAGCTTTTAAGCAATAATCTGCAGAAGAGATGAATAGCACACTTAGGATCTGCATGATTTATTTGGCAAAGCCTATTAGTTCTTTCTGGAGAAAATCAATAGTAATTCTCATCTGTTTGTCAGTGAGAATTTAATGTAGGCTAAAAAGTCACCAAGTCACCAAGAGTTTTATTCAGGTTGAAGTCTGCTCAAAACAGAACAAAAAAGATGAGTTTGAGAAAAATGCTTATTAAAGTCTTTTAAAAATGAAAACTACTCAAGACTTGACTGTTCATCAGAAGAACATTACCTAACCTGCTCAGCATTGCTGTACCAGAATCTGGCAGCAAGTTTTAAAAAGGAACCCTTTTCTCTTTCTTTACAGTCATAATTTATAACAGCTGAATTACTGGCTATAAATACTCTTTCTACTAATGTATTATGCTTTTGGGATTGTTCAGAGCAAATATTTTGTTACTAAGAAAATAAGCTCCTAATCTGAGGCTTCTGGAAAAAAAAATTAAAACACATTCAAAGTAGCATCTATTCAAAGACTGTCACTGTGCCATCTTGACAGACTAAATTTTATTTTCACTAGTATTAAAAAATATTGACATTTCTCACTAAATTTATTTTTTAAACATAGGAAGCTGCTGCTTGCCATATACTGGAGCATATTTATGCATATACCAAAATTTAAGGTTCTTATCCAATTGAAATATAAAAATCCAAACGGGATGAGTTAGCAGAGGGAGTTTGCTGTTGAAAGCAGAGGGTTAGATAAGCAAAATACATTCCTAAAAATATGTGATCAAATTAGGGAACATAGAGGATAATGATTTAAAATACATAATGATACACATGGAGGAGTTTTTCCTCACATACTGTGCACCTTACTTTAAAACAAAGCAAAAAAAAAATCCTACCAAAAAATCTTCTGAAAAATTGATACCAGCACAATTTGAATTTTGTTGGGTTTTTGATATTGCCCTGATAGATAATTAACATGAGATAATTTGGGACATTGGTATGTGACAGTGCAGGTACATACAGCTCTTTATGCCTTTTATAATCAGAGAGGTTACACGTTTTGTGTCACAAACAGGCGCTACGATCGCAAACTCGACACACGTCAGGCTCCACTGACTGCGGCGCTTCTGTTCTGCTCCCTGACACACAAAAAATCTCACATAGCACAATTCCCCCAGGTTTTTACACCTGCAGAGGCCAGAGGGAGGAAGTTTGTGAGCACAGGACAGCACAGTACTGTGGGATTTGGCTCTGCTCTGGGAGAGATCCACATGCGATGCTCACAGCCTGGAAAGATACAGGCTTCTCACATTAACACTCCGTGAGCTGCAGCACACAGAGTTACCAGATTAGCTGGCTCAAATTGTGTCATACTCTTATTTTTAGCATGCTATTATGCCTCTGGGATATATTTTATTTATCAGAGAATTGGACCAGATAAACAGATGTTGTAGCTGTTTTCTAAAAAAGGGTTTTCTGCAACTTGCTGTGAGGTACCTGAAAGACTGTATGTTTTGGGGAAGGGGCAGAGTGAATGTGTGAGGCAAATATAGTAGTCCTGAGCCACTTCTGGGAAATTACAGTTAATTTTTCAGGCAGAGACCTAAAATAGATCAAAATAGGGTGGTTTTTCTTGTAATTTTTAGAAAGAAAAATAGAGGGCCTCCCAACATTTCTATAATTTTAAGCAATATTATGAAACAGAACAAGCAAGAATTTGCCGGAGAACTTGGCAAAATATGTCAGCAGCAGTTTGGGATTGCTCAAAGGACTGACAGTGACTCTAATGGATCCAGCAGTGAGCTTCAGGTCTGCATCATGTGGGTGTTCCCTTCCAGGAGAGCTGTGAGTCCCAACAAAGAACACAAGAACTGTAATTTGCATGGGTTAAGTTGTTCAGTGTCAGCACAAAAAGCTGAGTTCTGCTTCCCCAGGCATCATCTTGGAAAGCTGCCCTGGTTTCTTGGCTACAGGACAGGGTCTCTAAGAGCGCTTGGAGAACAGATGAGAGCATCATCTTGATGATGACACCAGGTTCAGTTAGGGACAGCTAACTGGGAGAAGCTAAAATTTAAAAAAAAAGGGAAAAATGACATTTTATCACTTACTTCATCAAGCAGTGTTGACAAGAAGTGGCAAAACTACACAGGGAAGGCACTGGGAAATAAAACAATTTTGTGACATCTTGGGTATGGGCTGTGCAGCAGAGAAAGGACAGAAACAGAGAAGGACTGCAGTCACAATGCTAAAGAACAGAGGGAGCACAGAACTGCAAAAGCTTTTGTCAATAGCATTTCATACCCAATTATTGTCACAGGACTCTCAGATTTTATTTCCTGAATTTCTTCTGGCAGAATGCCAGTTCCCACATGACCTCCATAATTTTAATCCTCTCAATGAAATTGTCTTTCCTTCAGTTTCCTTTCAGTTTCATTCTTTCCTTCAGTTGTCTTTCCTTTCTATTTTCTTACCTTTCCAGACAGCTGATTTCCCTTAGAAGTTGGGATTGTTTCATAAGAAAACTGACCATGAATAGTAAGTTTTCTGTTACAGAGATGAACCAGCACCACTGTGCCAACATCTGCAAGTCTTTGATTTTGTGACTGTTATACTACATGTAGCCCTCCCACACAGGATGCCACCCAGAGGCTTCTTTCCTTTGTCTTACCTGGGTGACAAATGGTTGTGCCAGGTGGCAGTTTTGAACCCAGGCAAAGAGCAGCTGAGATGTAGCAGCACAGGATCCTTGGGAGATGCACGGCCTCTTCCGTGGGCTGCAGCTGCTGGCTGTGGGCTGTCCCTCGGAGCATGGATCACAATCAATTCCTAATCTCACACCTGCTTCTGGCTGGGTCAAAGTTCATCTGAACCTACCAGGCAGCCTAAGAATTCACAGGTTCTTTTGTTACTTAACAAATCTAGGTGTTCCTATCAGCTCAGCAGGGCTCTTTTCTGTGCAATAATTCCAAAAGCCTTTGATTTACCTGCCCTCCCTGCCCCTGACTATAATCAGAAGGGTAGGTGGCAGGGAGCAAAGCCTGATTCAGCAGCTGCTATTGCTCATTTTCTTGTCACTCTATAGGTCACTGGCTGGCAGAAATCTCTGTGGAAATGCATCTAAAAATATTTTGAAAACTTGGCCTCCACTGATGAGAAAATTAAGTGGTGACTCATGCTCCCATCAGCTCCAGACTCGATTACTGCAGTTTGGGGGGCTGAGAAGCTGATGCTCCACCGAGACTGCAGTTTGCTTAGGGGAGCAGCCGAGAGGCCTCATTGGCATTCATTGTTTCCAAGACATCTCTCTTGTCCTTTTAATCACGTATAAATTTAATTTCACTTCTCACTGAAGATCTCACTCTCCACCTTTCTGGCAAGAGGAATAATCCAGAGGCTGCTTTCATGACCTCTGCTGCAGCTTTAGATGCCAGCACAAAGCAGACTTGCCTGGAGCAATGCCTCCAACCTGCATTTCCCAGCATTGCTTTCTCTAGTCCTTCACAGCTTGTCCATGCAACTCCAGAAGATTCCTTACCATCCCACAGGGTGCTCTCTGTTGAATGAGAATTTTACAGGAACAGGACACATCAACTTGGAGGAATTTAAGTCAAAATGCCTTCTCATAGAAGCCACAGTCTAATGATCATGAGCAATAGTGTGGTTGAAGCAAGAAAATGACAAAGATGAGACCACATCCCTCATCCCTCTCCTGACATTGTTCTGACAGGATGCTATAAGTTTTGGGCTGGGAGACTGGAGCTACCCCATGGAAATAGTGACAAAAGATATTTGGTTTGTAAGATGCTGGAAAGGCCAGGCCATCAAATCTAAAGTAAAATACTCTTCATTTAGTCTCATCATGTGCTACATTATCCCCGAGCTTTGTTAGAACGATGGCAGGGCTCTTCAAACAGCTTCCCTGGGGAGACTGCTCTGCAGCTTAACAACCTTGCACTGGAGATGTGCAAGTGTAACCAAGGGCAGAATTTAGTCTCTTGTCTATTTAACGTGTTTGCTAGGGACTGCCTGTGTTCCTGGCACTTTATAATAATAGTAATATAAATGCATTTGGATTATAACCAAATGGAGAAACTATGATTTAGCCCTGTACTGTGTTGTAATTCCCAAATGCATCAACATCTATTTAAGTGCAAAACAGTCTACAGTTTACAAATACAAAGCTGTGATTGTCTGCTTTAAGGGTTCTGTATGAGATTATGATTCAATACAAAACACAATTCAGTGTCTGAAATTTCATTTTTAATGGCAGAATAACATCAAAAAAAGTACCTCTTTCTCCATATGCAGTCTTGCAAAAAAAAAAAAAAAGTATCCCAGGGACTTGGCCCTTTCTAGTCATTTCTACATATATAACTGCTCATCTCTTATGCACGTATGCACTCGCACATAAATCAGTGTGCCTGCAGACAGACCATATTTCATCTTGCCTTCTAACCTCCCGCTGTCAAGATATTTCCGCAAAAAATGTAACAAATAAAACTAACAGCTCCTTTTTCCTTGACTGCCAGTGTAATGTAGGCGACTACTTCTGTACAACCAAGCTCCTTCTGCTCTGTGAACAAGCACAACTGCGCAGCTTCCTCTGAGACTGCCTTTCTACCACATAACCTGCTCACACTGACTACAGGATCAACGAGAAAAAACACAACCACATCTTTGATTTCAACTACAGTAAAAATTGTTTATCTTGATAAGTTACTGGAGTTATCAAAAGCTTTTCAATTTAATGCACAAAAAGGGAAATAAAATATTTCAGTAATTCAACACAAAGTGCTAACATTGTCCGTGACCTCTGAAGTGCTGTTTTATTGTTTGGGTGGGTTTTTTCCTCTGCTGTCACTGGATGGGATTATAGAGATGCAGAAATTGATGATCAAGAAAATCTTCATGGTGTAACAAGGGCAAAGTTCTCATTTGCCATCAGTTTTGCCTGATTATGTTTAATAACAGTTATATTTACAGCCAGGAAGTTGAAAAGATTCAGAGTTGTTCTAACCTTTTACTGAAAAACTATATAGGTTCAATGAATTAATTTTCAATTGATGACAATTAGCAGCATTCTGAGGACTTTCCCCAAGTTCATAAAGTATTTCCAGACAGTTAATGGGCTTTTGTTTTAAAAAACAAGCAAAAAGTTTAACAGCTCACCCACAAAAGAATAAAACAGATAACAGAGGTAAAAATGTGACCTAAAGGATAAATAATTTTATCGTGTTTTCCTTTTAACAAAATTGAATTCAAAACCATTCTGTTTATTAAAGACATATAGCAAGTCATAAAACAAACATCTTAACAGTCTTAACAGAATTGATGCGCACAATTCAGTTTCATTAAGTATGAATTTAAAACATGTATTTTAGTTTAGCTTGATATTCCCTTTAGACCAACACCTCCAACATCATACACAATATTTAAGCTGCCCCAAAGCAATCAACAAGGACTTTGTAAAGAGACTAACAAAACTACATTGTAAAACACTTTGAAATAGTCTTACAGGTTGAAAAAAAACCCCCAAAAAACAAAGGATGTGTTCAATGGAATCTAAGCAAGTTGTTGGAAGTACTGAAAGGCAGAGATTCAGTACACAGAGGTAGCTCAGTAAGGGTACTTGCAGTGTTCTGATTGTTTAGCGTTGACACAACCACAGTCAGCTACTGTGTGCTTGAACTCCTGCTATGTATTTTGAAAAGGGAACACTGCCTCTGGGCCTGTTGTCTCACCATTCAAAACCAACACAAAGAGTCACTGAATTCAGTGGGATTGGGATTAAGTCTTTATATTCTCTGGAAATTCAGGTTTATGGAAGTAGAACATAAAGAAACTGTCCTGAGTCCAGACGCTGTCCCCTGCTACAAACAGGTTTTTTAAACCCAGAGGAATTTTTTCCCATATGGAATCAGTTACCACTTAGAATGTTTAAGGAAGTGGAAACTTGAATTTGGCCCAGGAATTCTCTATTTCCTAGCAGGCCTGTTGGCTGATCTGCCTGTGCTATCTAGGGATGCACTGATCAACCTGTGAACTCACTGCCCACTGCCCAATGGGAAGAGAGCAGTGCCCTGGGGACATGGGCAGTGGACAGTGTCCCTCAGCCCTCCTGCCGACTCAGCAGGGAGAGCTTGATCCCCCTCCAGGGAAGGAAAGAATTCAGCATGTGCCACCTCCCATAACTTTGTCACATGGTCCTTTTATTGGTGTGCCAGTTCTGAACAGGGGGATGCTGTCAGCTCCCTGCTGTGTCTCATGCAGATGGCAACAGGAAGTGGCCATCAGATAAAGCACCGAGGATTGGTACCAGATTATTTTTTTCCTGTTGTTCACAGGACTGGAAGTAACAGACTAAGTAAACCAAGCACATTTTTTTGTTTTTCAGTAAGGCAAAAGGATATGAATTTCACATGCTTATTGTCACATAGAAGATCTTCAGCTTGTGTAAAGGATTTCAGGCTAATCAGAGCTCTGATAATCTCCATTTGCTACAGACTTGCTCCGAGGTGTTTGCACTCAGCCACACCTTTAGCTGCAATGTTAACCATGACACACATGGAAGCTCTGCATTTATATTGATGTCCCATCGACCTATTCCTTTCCTTACTTAATATTTTAATGCACAATTGCCAGCACAGTTTTTGGAGATAGGCGCACCCCCCAGTCTGGGCTAGAGCATGTTTCTGAAATCTTCATCTCCCAGACAAGATGTAGTGCTGGCTGCATGTGTAAATATATGCCTGCATTCCTTTATCTTCAATGCCTAGAAATAGTATTTTGTATTCTTTTTTTACCTAAGTTTATTAAAAAGAGTAATATTATTTCTTAAAAAGTTGTGATTGATTGTCAAATGAGCTAAGATAGCGTTTCTGTTACTATAAGGATCCTTTTAATTAGCAAAAAAATAATAAATTGTCAACTTTTTTATCCTCATAAGCCACTATTCATTACCAATGCAGTAAGAGAGAAAACATAGCTTAGCTTACTACAATAAAGGCTCTGTTTCAGCATCCTAAATTCTCTGTGCAGATCTCTGTGCATTGCACAGGAGGAAGGAGAAGAAAAAAAGAAAACCAAAAATTCGTGTTCTTCATGGGTAAATGATAAAAAGATCTCGTAACTGCAAACACAAATACTTCACTCATAACCCAAGCACCAGACCATTTCTTTGAAGAAGCTTATGAGGCATTTAAGATATACAATGGCACAATATCATACAATGGAATTGAAAGAATTTTCTTGAGATACCATTAACTTTGAAGGAATGTCTAGACAACAGTGTCAACAAATGCAAATAATTCATGCTTTTCAGCTTCTATCCATTGGATGGCCCCATGCTGAGTATACACAAACTCAGAAGAAAAAGGCATGTCACAGTCATATGACTAGGGAGTGTAACAGAGTCACACAGAAATTCAAGTCAATCTCAGAAAAAAAACCTTCAGAAAGCTCTTCCCCAAGAGAAGAGCTGGTAAGCCAGCAGTGGGATAGGCTCCTGGTCATTTTGGCTAGTTTAAAACAGAGACTTGCTGCTGGTGCACCCTGGCTTCAAAGCAGGGGCAATGGAAGAACCAGCTGTCAGGCATGACCATTCACTCGGTTAGAAAAATAAACTAATGGATTCCAAAATACTGTACAACCTATTGCAGCAACCAACAAAGTGGCTTCTGAAAACAATGCTTTTGCCAAAAATGCATCTGTAAGGCACTTAACAGGTATCTTTTAATATATATATATATAGATATAGATATATATAAAAAAATAAAATATGCACTAAAGCAACATTCACAAAACCCAGCTGTGTCAATTGTCCGTGTGTACAGTATAGTACATATATACATTCACTGTGACACAGGCCATCTCCACAATTATACCTTCACGGGTGCTTTGGGCTGCCTGGTTAATTTCAGTGCCTGCGAACAGGAAACAAAACAGTCACTTTTTTATACCCTTAAAAGACAAGCAACAGCACAAGGTAAGACTCTCATTTATAAAGGGCAACAAAACACTGCGCGTACCTCTGAGCGGCTGAGAGAGGAGTCAGTGTGCAGCTGACAGGCTGTGGGCTCTGAGATGGTGTTTGTGTCTCTTATAGCCCATCACAACCTCCCTTCTATAATATATATATACTAACATATAGCCTTAACAGAGGAACCACAAGGACTATGGCTGCTGTGCCAGTGAAGGAAGCAGAGATAGGTCTCAGATGCCTTTTACAAAGTGACCATTTGGACCCCACTCAAACCACTCGTGGCACAGACAGAAGAGCTTCAGACACACTCAAGGAAAGACAGTGAAGAAAAGGTGTGCCAACACCTTTGTGGCTTCCTTCCACATGGCTCAAAGCCTGCTCAGAGGATAATCACTGCTGCAGTGGTGGATGTCATGCACCTTTGATGTTTATATTCTCTTTTCTGAGAAAAGGTAAGAAATAGCCAAAGTCCATCAGTCCAGAGGTGATCTTTGCAGGGGACACCTGACATCTTTGTAGCTCCATTGCTGAGGAAGAAAGAAACCCCTTTCTTTTTTGATGGCAGGATCCAGCTCCGTGTTTCTCACAGGACTGGCCAATTATGGCAGCTTTATTTATTTATTTATTCAGTGTGTGACACTGAAGTTCAGCCCAGTGCTCATGCTTCCAGTTTGGCAGAAAGCAGCCTCTCTAAGTAAGGAGAGAAATGTGATAGGCTCAGAAAGTGTTAGGTTTTCAGCTGCTCTTGTGCAGCAGTGGGGGCACTGGGAAGGATGCTGCCTCTTGGTATGCTCAGCAGCAAAAAAAGCTCTGTGCCTTCTTAGGTGGGACAAATTGGCCCAGGTGAAAGGAATTTAGACAAATTAACTCATTCCTGAAATTTGGATCCTCCATTTTTCTGAAGGAAGTCTTTTGGGAGAAGAGCCCTGACAGACTGTCATTTGTCTGACTTCTTGTTTCCAGCAGGTTGGCTGAACAAGCAATTTTCAGTCTGAGAGATGCCTGATGGGGCTTCTTATTGTAGATATTAACCTTTAATATTGTACACTTAAAGCTTGTAAGCACTGCTTGAAAATCACTCCAGCACAAATGTAAACCCTTAAAAAAACCCCAAACCTTTAAAAATAAATGGGATATATTCCCCTCAGAAACACCAGCATTTAACTATTGTTAAATCCAGCCCTTTGAGATTAGTCTTTTGGATATTATTCAGCAAGAGACTTTGGAGAGAGAGACATCATTCTACACTTTGTTTGGGGAAACAATTTTTTAACTTTGTAGTTTGGCAGATTCTGCTGCCATATTTACAAAGTAGAAATACCTTAGTGTAGATGAACCTCTAAATATTTAAATTCAATTTCATACAACCCGATCACATGTACTATCATAATTAAGTAAGAATGTCACTGCAGTTGAGTACTGTGACTGGATAACTGCCTCCCTCTGCAAGAAAGATGCCAAAATGAAGCCAAGGTGTTTGTAGAAAATAAACATCAAGGGTGATGATGACATGTTTATTTTCAAAGCAGGAGACCATTATCCAGTCACAACATTCACTTCTGTTATACTTATTGCAACTGTACCAGACCCAACCTCATTGATTTTTTTCAAAGAGTAATTAAAATAACATTTGTGAATAATACAGAAGACCAACTGAAGAAACTGCAGCAACAGAACAACAATCCCCCAAAGTGGTTCTACAGTGGCATTACAGTCTGCTTAGCACAGGAGGTTTATTTGATGCTTAATGAATAAGAAACTAGTGCTGGTGAACTGTAAATCTCTTCAGTACTGGCTGACTGTTCTGATGCTCTGTTTAAAGGCTGTTTTAATTTGCAGCAGCTGACAGCAGCCCCTAAAGGCCATTACTGCCCTGAGAATCAGGGAGGTCTGGATGAGCTCCAGCCCCACTCCTGAGATGCTGAAGAGAAGTCAGCATTGCAGGGATTGTTCTGTCACCAGCAGCATAAACTTTAGGCTGTATTTCTACAAGAATAGCATGGAATTTTCTTTATACCACCTGTAAAGTGTCCTGATAATTTCTGATTTAAAAAAACCCCATATTTTCAGACTGATGGATAGTTGCCACTGGATTCTCAGATTTTAATTTTCAGATACCCAGACCAGTATATATTAACCAGGTCTGATTTCTGAACACAGTTTCTGAACACTGTGAGTTTTCCTGCTTTTTACAGTTCAGATAACACATGAAAATCACTGATTTGGGATTTTAGCATTGAAGATAGCAAGGTTACTTTAGTGGTGTGAAGCTGTAAAATGACAGCCACTGGGTTTTGCTGAAAATTGGAAATATGAATGTTAGCAATAAAATTTCTTCAGTGCTAAGTGGAGAATGCAGGGTGCTGATGGATTTGGCTTCTCACAGTAGATCTCAACCATCACCGAAAATGGCTGCCAAAGGTTGCTTCAGTTGCTGCAGCTTCTTGATCTTTATTATCTCAGAACATTAAAAGACAGCATTAAATTTGGTTTCATGGATTAGCTTTTTGCAGGGTGGTTATTCTGAGAACCTGACTAAAACCACTGCAATAATTTCACATAGATCACAGAATGGCTGTCAGATGTCAATACCTTCAATTTGTACTGAAATAAGCATAATTTGAATCAGTGATGTTGATTGTAAATCCTCTACGTAATAGTCTATAATCCTACAAGTTATCCCATGCCTTATTTTTGGCATGAAATGGGATGACCCAGACTACTGTGGACTTCTTGCTATTGTAAAGGGTGACACAAATGGGGGGAAAGTGGTAAAAAAAAGTTTTTATCCTACTTCAATCCAGTTCAGAAAGTGTCCTTATTTTACCTCATTTCCCCAGCTCCCATGCCAGCCAACATATCTTTGTCACTTCTCCACAAAGGAGATCCAAAGCTGTGATTATTAGTCAGCTAATGGATGGAGACATTCTTATGGGGCATATTTTGAATTCATAATTTGAATGAATTTGTAATTTGAATTAACTGTAGAGGTCTAACTTCATGCTTTGAACTTTTTCAGAGTCTCTTCAATCCCCTTTTCAGGGGGGATAAAGTTCTGCACTTTTATTTTGATACTGCTGTGATTATCACTGTTACAGAGGAAGCAAGGAAATAGAAAAATCCCAACCATAGAAGGAACCCCAGGAGTCTAGGACATTTGTTTGGTATTTTTCCCCTCACAGTACACTTGCCATTATAAATCAAATCCAGCAATCCTTACCTTTTGCCTAGAAACCATCCAGGATTTTATCGTTGGTACCAACAGACTGCCAAGAAGGATCTGAGCAGGATGATAGATGAGCAAAGGGACGGAAATTAAGGACAGGTATTCATAACCTGCAAATACTATCTTCAGCATGGGAATCCCTGCAGGCAGAAAAACAGGAGACAGACTCTCACCTCAGACTTTGAGCTCCAGATAAAAGCAAAGCATTTTATGTTGCACTGACATTTCACAATAATAAAAAAAAAAAGAAATCCCAAAATGAGCTGAAATGTTTTATATATTAAAAAATCCAACCCAAATGAGCAAGAACATGAATACAAAAAATATATGGCAGAGAAAGTTCTGTGGCAGAATGGGTGAAGTAGGGAATGCCATAAAAGATCTCTTCTAACTATGCTAATATTGCAGTAAATAAAAACTGCTGCTGAAGACTTGATATACAATACATTCTGCTATAGCATGACTGTTCAGTTGATGACCACAGTTCTGTACTGCTTCTTTACTACTTCCTCCCACTGGGCTGCTCTGTGTTCACATGATTGTCCTCCTTCCAACCTGCCCAACTCCTGCTTGTAACCTTTGCAACCTTTCTTTGGTCTGTTCTCCACTGGAGGAGGGTCGTATTTTGCTTGTACATTCCCTCCAGTTGGTGAGTATCCAAATGAGAGCCTTCCCTGCTTTGGCTGACCCATGACACAGAAAAGGTTTAGTCAGCTGGGTGAGCAATATAAAGTGATCCTGCCCACAAAGAGTTAGGTAGCAGCTGGAGTACAGAAGTTGCTAGATGCTGGAAGAAGTGAGTGCTAAGACCTAGAGATGGGCCATTTTTTCCAAGAGCTGGAATTTGCACTCAACAGTGCTAATTCTATCAGACAACTCCATGTACAATCTTCCTGCTTGATGATGTGATATGTAAAAATAAGTTTTATTCACTTCTGCAGTAATGAAACCAATTGTGCCTACTTTAAACATATTGCTGTTCAAAATTATCTGTTCAAATAATGGAATTTGCTACCATGCTCCACAAAGTGCAGGTGTGGACAAAACCTGCAACCAGTTCTGTCTTGCCTGACCAGATATTTGCACAGCTGCCAACAAGAGCAGCTGTGATTCCTCAGGAGCCTCCTGAGAATGCACCTTATTTTCTCTCTCATCTTAAATGTCACTCTAGGAGTCCTCTGCCGACAACAACCTTAACGTGAAGCAGACTACACACGGTTTTCACAGAGCTCATCTGAGTGTCTCATAGAAGCACAGAGTGGTTTGGGCTGGAAGGGACCTCAAAGACCATCTTGTTCCAGCCCCCTGCCACGGGGACACCTTCCACCAGAGGAGGTTGCTCCAGTCCCCATCCAGCCTGGCTCTGCCTTGTCTCCTTTCTCAGCAATGACAAAACACTGAGCTTTGTGCCGCAGACCCTCCATTTCCCCAGGAGGAGATGCTTCAGATCAGCCAAAGCTGTCATATTTATGGAAGCTTTTCTTTATATCTTGGATTAACTCCCATTCTCAACACCATGTCCTTTAATAACATTGACCCCTCCCTATGTGAGCAAACAGCTTATTTGTTGAATATTTCCACTTCACCGGTGCCCCACTATTGCTGACATGTGTCTGGGCTTCTGAAATCTTCATGATGTTTCACAGCAACATTTCTTATAATTATAATTATTATTATTATTAGCTTTATCACACTATACCACTAAAAATCTCATGTCTATGCTAGTAGCCTTTACCCCTTTGCAGGGATGGATTAAATCAAATAAATAAGGGCTTGCATGCTTTATTACAGTATTATAATTGCCTTCAAAACATCATGGAGCTATCACAAAATTGCTTATTACTAACACTAATTTCTGGGGCTTGGGAATAAATAGTATGTAGATAGAAATTAAACAGGCATTTGCATTATATTAAGGCACGTACTTTACCTCAAATGCCCATCATACTGTTTTTGTAAACAGATAAAGGTTTCATTGCCTGTTTCCACATCTCAAATTGACCCTCGTGGGTCCTTTTCTATTTTCTAATCACAGAAAAATACACTGGAGCCCCAAGCTGTGAACATGCTGTATTTCTGTTTGTAAGACAGTACCTGGTGTTTTGGTAGTGCAATTTCATCCACAGATCCAAAAACATTTTAGAAAGCTGAAGAGGGCTCCTACAGAGAATCAGAAAAACTACAATGACTAGCCTAAGATCACACAGAAACTAATGGCAGAGACGTGAACAGAATGCATCCAAAGTCACTGAGACATGCTTTAGATAACTGTACATTTTCTGAAAGAAATAAAAGAAATTCCAGCTTAAAAGGTAAATTCTCTAGAGGAAAACTCTTTCTGTAAACTAGGAAAAGAAAATTAAAGTTGTCAAATATAAATACAAAGTACTATAATTAGCATGACAATATAATTAGATCACTGGGTAGAAAGAGCTTCTTAATTCACAGCTTGTTTAAATACATGTCACAACAACAGGTTCCTGGAAGCTACTAATGTGCAATTAAAGTTCCTATTATTTACCAGGAAATGCTAACTGGTGAAAAGAAGAAATGATAATAATTTTTGCAGGTAAGGACTAGTCTAATGGAAAGAAAAGAAACCCAACCTTGTTGCCTTTTCATGCACTTTCTGATCTTTATAATTCCAACTTTGCCAGTATGCAACTCTCTCAGAAAATATTTTGTGACAGAGATCCCCATAGTGTAGTCACAAATGCTTGTGTCAGGAACATTACCACAAAGCTAAACTAAACAGCATGAGTGTTATTTATTTTTAAAAATGCCATCTAAACTTTTTAGTAGCAATATGTAGTAGCTGCAAGCATCAGTATGACTGTTAATGTTTTCCAAACATATAAAACCCATGCAAATATCTAATTAGGGAAAACTTCTACCTCTTTTAAAATGAAACACAAAACCAACTACATTTTTCTCATATATAGATATATACACACACATATATAAACACTACACTTGGGAGAAAAACAACACTGAAGGCTCATGCCACAAACACCCATTCATGCTGCTGTGGTTTATGGAGTTTCAAGCTTCCAGCAATCTGGTTCAACTCTCTGCCAAAGACCCTCACTCACTAAATATCATGAGAGCTGAATAACAAAGTTGCCTTCTGTGCTTTGGTGCTCAGTTGGTCTGCTTTGCTCAAAGTGGGGATTTAACAAGCTTCCCATCTTCCTCCAAAGATAGGAGTGGGATGAGACAGCAGCACCCCACCTGACTAGAACTACAGAGGGCAGCAGCAGAAGGGAGAAAAACCAAAGATCGTTCTGCAGGTATCCCTTTCAAACAAGATCACTGGTATTCCCAGCTTTTTACCCCAAATTTCCCTTTTGTTTGGGTATGTTTCTCCTGCCAGTGCTCCCCCATGTTCCCATGTTCCTCCTTGCTCTTTGGCCCTGGTGTTCAGGGGCTCTTTTTCTATTTGTGTTTTCTCCCTTCCTCCTTTTCCCTCCTCCACTCCCATGCTTTCCCATGCTGAAACTTGGAAGTGTTTGCTTCCCAAGACCTTTGACTCTACTCATTGCAGCCATGTAAGTTTTGGGTACTTGCACTACAATCACTCAGCTCCACTAAGGGCAGGGGCACCAACATCACAGTCCCACTGCAGCTGCGAGAAGAACACAGGTCTGTGACAGGGAGCACATTGCAGATTTCTCCCTTTTTTGTGTCCTCACTCAGCTCTTCTTTTTCCCATGTTAAGCACTTTGCAAATCTGAGGAAAGCAAAGGAAACACTGTTTATCCTTGACCTTCAACAGCAGCAAGGATGAGTGAGAGCACTGCTCTTGCAGCATAGGAAAGCCCTCTCAGCTCTCCATTGCTCCAGGGTGTTCCAGCTTGGCTCCAAGGCTGAAACTTCATATTTGGTTCAGGGCTATAGGTTATCAGCCCTGGCCAAAGGGCTGCTTCTCTACTAACTTGCTCAACTGAAAGCTACTTAATCCTTCCCCCAGTGTGCACCCAGTACAGCCTCCCACATCCTCCCTTCCCCTTTGCTATTTGCACATTTCCTAAAAGGCCCATGAAAATATTATGCTGCACTTCACTACATTTAGTTAACTGTAAAATAATAATAATAAAAAACCCTAAAAGATTTGAAGGTATTTTAAAGATAATTTAAATATAGGACTCTTTTCATCTAGCTATCACTGCAGTAATATAAATGAAGCAAATTAATTTTAATGCTCCAAGGTTCTGATTCTGTGTCACTGTCACTGACAGGATCCAACTAGACTTTATGAGATGGCATTTGACTTTATGGAAGTGAGCACTATGCACGCATTTACAATTTTACAGGGACTTTAAGCTGTCATGCTGAAAAATGTTTATAAAACATTAATCAAAAAATGCCTCTTTAATACAATGCATTGTCTGAAAGATGTTAGAAGGCACATATTGTAAATGGATTCTTTTTCTGACTAAAGTAATTTCTACCAAAAGCCTTTCCCCACTGCTATACAAGTACACAGTGTGGAGAGATAAAGAGCACTTTCTCAGCACATTACTACCTGATCCAAACACTTGGGAAATCACTAATGTACAGCATGCCATATTTCCATGTCACACATGACACATTTGTCTAAAATTACCCAACAGAGTTTGACATTGCAGCATATTCCTTAGCAGAGCTTTCAACTGACATCTGCCAAGTAAGAACTTCAAGTGGGAGCTTTCTTCTTCTAACAAGCAAGTAAGAGTTTTCTTTTATCCTATACCCATGATGGAAATGATAAAACAATAAGTACTGGAAATCAGGGCTTTTTTTTCTATTTTAATATGTTTATTTTATGCTCGCTGGATGTGTAAGCTCCCCTTAAAGCACTGTTTCATCATTTGCTGTTTTCTATCACATTGCAATGGGTTCAGAGAACTTAATAGAACATTTTTATTACCATCGAAACACAGGCCATTATCTCTCACACCCAAAGCAGAATTATTGCTAGTGCTCTACTTCCATACTTCACTGTATAGGTTTTTTCCCTTCAGTGTCTTCATAACAAACAATTTATCCTAAACCTTTATTGCCTACATTACTGAAACACATTCCACATCACAAAACGCTGCAGCATTTCTTCTCAGCAAAAGAAATTTGGGGCAAAACAGAGAGGTCATGCTAGGGCTAT